ACTCCTGCTGGATTTAGCCTCCCATGAGTTTCTGTTTGAGCTGGATGCTCGACGCAAAGGATTCTGAACCTGCCTTCATGATCTGATGGATACCTGGAACCCGGATCTGTCCGTTCCTGAGTGGATCGTAACCCCTGACCAGATTGCGGACTCCCGGATTCCAGTACTCCGGTCTGATCTGAATCCCTGTCCTGGACTGGAGTCCAGCCTGCGCACTGGGGTTGTTGCATTGGGGACTCTCTGGATGGCTTAGGGCTGCCTCTCTTTGGCAGTGTATCGGCTTATCCTGCCTATGATTGTGAGGATGGACTGAACTGTTAAACCAGATAAGTGACTCCCTCTGATAATCATCTTCTGTTCACTTACCTGTGTTTCTTCCTAAACCAGAGTGTCAGTGATTGGGCAGTGCCCCGCCCCCCTCCTGTAGTCGTTACAGGTCCACAGCCTGTTTCAGTTCTGTTCTGTCTGTTTTTATTGTAATAAACATTTTGAACTTTCCTACTGGCTGTCTCACCCTGAATACTTGGTACATCTGTCCCGTTTTATGACAGAATGATCTGGCCACGAAAGCTGGAACTGAGCCCAATATAAGGGCAAATGGCAGGTGGCTGAGATGAGTGATGATTAGGAGCTGGACAGAACTAGGCAGGTGAGTGCAATGAGCAATTAAGGCCAGCTATCAGAGCAGATCATGACACTATCCAGAACTCAATTGGAATCGTTTTAGTTTCAACTGGTTAAATTTAGCATAATCTAAATAAATAATCAACATATTAGTCAATTTGCAAAATAGCGTTAGTTGCAGCCCTAGCTCACACGTTAAAAGGAGGGATACCTCTGGTTGCATTTTAAATGGGATTTCCCTGACCTGGCTCAAACTAATGCTTGCCCTCAGGGACTGCAGCAATGGGGACAGCTATGGGTGGCTCCTGCAGCATCTAGTAGGCAGCCCCCTGGCTGGATCCTACCACTTTAAATGGAGATGGACTGAACTGATAAACCAGGTTGGTGACTCACATGGATAATCCTCTTCCATCAAATTATCATGGTCACTTACCTGTATTTTTCTCCACCTGAGTTTCCAGTGATGGGTGGTGCCCCGCCGAACTGCAGCCGCTGCAGATCCAAAGCTCTGCGTCTGTTTCAATAAACGCCTTTTAAATAATCACTATCTGTCTCGCCTGAATTCTGGGTCCTATGTTCTGAGCTTCATGACAAACTGACCATTTATTTTAAACATGTTAAAATGGCTGAAAAAACTGTGAAAAAAAACAGAAGCTGAAGAAGTGAAGCCAGCTGCACTAATAGAACGGATGCAGCAGCGGCTTCTGAATAGTTGTTTTCTATTCCTTAAGGGCAACTTTAGAGGGAGCCAGAGCTACTCTCAAGTACTGAAGTTATTCTTAATTGCTTGAGAAACATGTCTGATGGTTTTTTATAGAATATTGTTTGTTAAGATACTTCTAGAAGACACTTTGGTTGCTTTAGGTTGGAAGAATCTGATGGAAAAAGGACTAATAATATCATCCCTATGGGATTTCCAGCAGAAAAAGCATTATTCTGTTGTTGTTGTTTTTTCAGCCTTAGTGCAGTGTAAGCAAATAATATGTACTTTATTTTGCATCTATTATTAGCAGTTGGGTATTTTCTTTCTTTCAATAATAAATATAACCTGAATATAAAATGTAAATGAGATGTAATATATTTTTCCTACATTTTACCCAGCTTGAGAGCCTAGATGAGGGCAGCGCTGTTACAACTTTGTAACGTACTAATCGGGACGTTCTTGAAAAAGTTATTTTTTTGAAACATTAACAAGACATTTGTCAATTACCAAAAAATGCTTGATGTAGAACCGTTATTGGGGCTCGCAGAGCCCCCTCACACCAGCCCCCTCCCTGTTTTTGACTCTCAACATGTCTCCAAACCCCAAGACCACCAGAGACCTAACCTCCCCCCCACCACCACTCTCACCAACCCCCAACCAACTCACACCCTCTGCCATGCCTCCTTCCCCCCATGCAGTCACTTCAATGTAGGTGAAAAGCCGGCTGAAGAAGCTGAAACAGAGGAAATCCTCTGGACCGGACGGGATTCCTCCAAGGCTGCTAAGGAACTATGCTGATGAGCTCTGTGAGATCCTCAGCTACATCTACAACCTGGTCCCCACTCTATGGAAGACATCCTCTATCGCGCTTGTTCCCAAAACGCAACACGCCAAGGAACCAGCCCACATTAGATCAGTCACCCTGACCTCCCACCTGATAAAGGCCATGGAGCGCCTTATCCTTGCCCACCTGCACACCCTGGTGAGCCCCACCCTGGACCCCCTGCAGTTTGCTTACCGACCTGACATCGGAGTGGAGGATGCCATCATCTACCTGCTGCAGCGGTGAGAGTAATGTTCTTTGACTTCTCCAGTGCTTTGAACACCATAAGACTAGAGTTGCTGAGAGGGAAGCTGGAGGACGCTGGAGTGGATATACATCTTACTGATAGACAACACCTACCTCACCAAATGCCCTCAGTATGTGGGGCTCCAAGGCTGTCAGTCAGAGGTGGCACTCTGCAGTACCAGAGTCCCCCAGGGCACAGTTCTGCTCCAACCTTTACACCTCGGACTGCATCTACAGCACGGACAGCTGTCATCTTCAGAAGTTTTCCGATGACTCAGCCATTGTAGGCTGTGTTTCTGAGGGGAATGAGCTGGAGTATTTATCAGTCAACATGAACTTTGTTGACTGGTGTGAGAAGAACCACCTGTGTCTTAACACCAGTAAGACCAAAGACACCAAAGAAATGGTGATCGACTTCAGGAGAAGACCCCACCTCACTCCCCCATGACTATCCAGGGGCAGGACATAGAAACTGTGGAGAATTTGAAATACCTGGGTGTTCACATCAATAACAAGCTAGACTGGACTGACGCCCTGTATAAAAAGTACCAGAGCTACCTCCACCTCAAGAGGAAGCTGAGGTCCTTTGGATTGAGCAGGGCCCCACTTAAAACCTTCTATGAGTCTGTGGTGGCATCAGCCCTCCTCTATGCTGTTGTCTGCTGGACCCCTGGCAGCACAGAGCGGGACAGAAAGAGACTGAACAAACTCGTAAGAAAGGCCGCTTCTGTTCTAGGCTGCACCATGGACTCAGTGGAGGAAGTGGCTGAGAGGAGGGTGCTGTCCAAGCTTACATCCTTCATGGACAACACCTTTCACCTTCTGCACCAGTCTGTAGCAGATCTGAGCAGCTCCTTTAGTGAAAGACTTTTACACCATATGCTGATGAAGGTTCTCAGTCATCCAGGTCATATTCATTCCGTAAAAATTCAAAAAAAATATCCGCTTGAGAAAGCTTCCTGGAGAGGTGGCGAAACGTCTTCAAATCTTGAAAACCAAGTCCAGTGGATATTTTTTTTGAATTTTTACGGAACTTTTACACCATGTTTGTAAAAAGGAGCGCTACCACAGGTCATTCATCCCTGCTGCAACCAGACTCAACAACATGACACTACAACGGCAATAATTTGTGAAATGTATAATGTGCAATTACTATTTGATACCCCGTGCAATAACCTGGTTCTCTATATCTGAAACCCAGTAATAACTATATATAAATATAAATATCAATCTATATAAATACCCATGTAAACACCCTGTGCAATAACCCCGTATAATGATCCTACTATAAAAAAAAATAAAAATAATCTGTCATATGTGGATACGCTGTAAATAATGTACGGTGCACCTTTTTCTTCCTTTGCACATTCTTATCCTTTGACTATTTGAGCTGATGTAATGAGTAAATTTCTCTACTGTGTGATCAGTAAAGTCAATCACTCAATCAATTAATAAATCAATCAATCAGAGACCAAAATGTAAGTACCAAAAGGTGCAAAACTGTGCATTTGCATAAATTATGACATTATAAGAAAATAAAAGAAAATCAGGAAATATATCAGGAAGTTAATTACATGCCCCGTTCAGTGTTCAGTGTAACAGTAATTTCTTTAGGATATTTATGTTGTTATGAATACTGTAAAATATAACAATTATAAGCACAAGAGGATTACCTTAATATCATACTATTAAGAAGGATTTTTATTAGTGTGCTGTGATATGAAAGATTATTCAACCCTAGATAGAGAGCCAAAGACACCTTGAAGGTACCTACATGGACTTAAAGACCACTCAGACAGGAGGAAGTCTTTTTTTTTTAAGTAAATCTAAAAATCCCAGTTTATAGTTTACAAAAACAGAAAGCGCGAATACTTTCCTTTCTGAAGACATCTTCTTTGGTTTACTACAATTCAAATGTCTGTTCTGATGTTTTTTGTTGTATTTGGAGGAAAAATTGTGAAACTTATATGCCTGTGAGCAGCATCCCAATTATAAAGCACAGCGGTGGCAGCATCTTATTGTAAAGATATTTTTCTGCAGGGGGAAACAGGTGGACTTTACATATGAAACTACATAAGACCATTGTAAAGAAATAACATTATGTGATACACCTGGAGCCAAACAGGAAGTTATGGCATGGGCACCAATTGTTCCTCCAGATTGACAATCACTAAAATGACTCTGCTGTGAGCAACAGCATGGGATAAGGGCAGAATAGTCAGTGTATTTAATGGACTGCAGCAGAGTCCTGAGATGCCATCAAATATTTTTGACGGCATCTTTTTGAACAAAGCTTAAAATGATGTATTTAAACGTCTGACCTACAAAGAAAGCATTAAAATATTCTCTAAAAAGTATCATAGAAACAGCAAAATCCTAGTCCCATTTAATGTCAGTAAAAAACAACTCATTTTTCTATTCATGTGACATATTTATATCTGGTTTCAACACAGTTTGAGATAAAAAGATTGTGTTTGCATGCCTGTAAAATGAACACAGGGGTACACGCACACTGCCTGCCTTTCTCTCTCTCTCTCTGAAAATGGAAGTAACAAGTTGATTTGAGCTCCTGCGACTGAGCGAGAGAAGAAAAGTGGGGGTTAGAGAAGTGTGGTTGTCCGTTTCCTGCTTTGAGCTGATGTGTGCACAGAACAGAGAAGAGAAACTTCCTCTCTGGCAGTGCATTGCGAGGACGTCTTTTTTTTAATGTTTTTTTCAATTTCTGCCAAATGCAGAAGACTATAATTTTAAATAAACAGGAGCATTTGTGAGAAGGATAATGAGCCGTGGAAAGAATAAAACAGAGAGCATCCAAAGCTCTCTGCTGAGCCAACAGGAGAATGACAAGCTGGAGGAGCTTCTGGGCAGAAGGTGTGCTGTAAGTGCTGAGCTGAGCTGTGAGGGGGATGCTCTTTTAAATTCACTCTCACTTCTAAATAAATGCTTTTCAATGAGAAAAATAGGCTAATATGTTTACATTTTATGCTGTTTTCTTCCCTTTCATGTAGTTGAAGTCTTAACCTTAAGCTGCTCGATAAATAATCAGTCGTTGATTAAATTTTTGAGCCTTCCTGTTGTAAATTGACTCTTTACTTTTGATTGCAATATTATTAAAAGAACAAGACGTTGGGTGTTTATTTTTCCTTTCATAATATGTTCCTTTAAATAAATACAGATACGGCAAACAAATATTTTCTTATGTTGGGTCATTAAGAAAGTAGGTAGCTGTAACAGGAAATGGTGGCTGAATCGATCCTTCCTCCTCTGTCAGAATTAGACACCCTGACAGCGTTTAATCTTACAGCAGAGCAGAACTTGGTCTGTTCTTGATTCTTTTTAATCCATCAAAGTGAAACATTTTCTCTGAGTTTTTCTGTTGGACTTTTTAAAACTCAACAAAACATTAAAACAGCAGAGGCAGTGGAAAATCCAGAGCATCAATTTTCAGAGCAAATGAAAGCAGAGGAGGAAGTTATTCACCTTCACCAAACTGTAAATTTACATTTGAACGACAATAAAGTGCTCTCACAGGTCTTATCAGCTTCAAACTGTGTCCCATATCTGTCATGTGTCTGTATGTGTAGTCCATTGCAACAGCAGTGTCCCAGCTGTTCATGGCTCTGCCTAACAGCCCAACCATGTGGAGCCTGCAGCACACTGGAGTGGTCTGCTTCGTCAAAGACAACCCTCAGCGCTCCTACTTCATACGAATGTTCGACCTGAAGGTTAGATAAAAGTCCTTCTTACCAAGAAGCAACAAATCTCATATTTAGACTGTGACTAAGTTCTCCTTTCGAAAAGTCACACAGTTACAGCATATAATGGAACACTTATGACAAACTTCCTGACATAGATGAAAATTAATCATAATCCCTTTTTTTCCTCAGGCTGGGAGACAGATTTGGGAGCAGGAGCTCTACAACCAACTTGTTTACTCTACGCCTCTGCCCTACTTTCATACGTTTGCAGCTGATGTAAGACACACACACTGACCTAACCCCTGGGTGCAATTCCCCCGAAACAATCTCTTGGTTGTTGTTGTTTTTTTTTTGCAGGTTTCTTCCTAAGGCGTTTGATTCAATGTGCTTTTGTGACACACTGTAGGACTGTCAGGTTGGGCTGAACTTCGCGGACCAACAGGAAGCGGACGCCTTCAAAAGCACCATAGTAGAGAAAATCAACCAAAGACATACCCGTCAAGGTCAGAGGGTAGAAATTCTGTACTGCAGAGAAGCTCAAAATCATTTTGTGTTGCCATGTTTGACTGTGCACATGTTTCAAGACTTTAGTTCTAATAATGAGTAGAAAAATCTGTAGAATCAACATAATTTGGTAGATTTCATACTATTTTCATATACTTTTAATGTTCATTACTTTCTTGGTTTTTTTCTTTATCTCTTTGTTCTTTTCATACCCAAATCCTGACACCCTTGATGCTATGACCCAAAATGGTGGCTTGTTTTTCAATGACAGAGAAGAAACAGCGCCCCCCACCGGCAAGCGGTATAACACACTGAATCGGATCTTTGACAACAATTAATATCACTTTAAACAGGCACAACAAACATCTAACATCTGTTTTCTCTTTTTATAATGCTACAGATAGATCCCTCCCCCCTGTTCCACCTGGTGTGTATCTGATTTATTTTATAGAAGCTCCTCTTGCTCTATTAGTAAAAATAATCACTAGACTTACAATTTTAGGTCTTTTTAGGATTAAAAAAAAATTTCCCCTCTGCAAATTTTCTGTGAGAATCATATCAAGCCTCAGGCCACTGTAATAAATAAAATAAATAGGATGATATTTGGTGTTTAGCCTCTTAGTAACTATTTTATCTGTATTCTGAGGGTAATTGCTCTTCCATAGACTAATTTCCACCCAAACTTGACCTTCTTAGCTTATTTCTTTAGATGTTACTTTAACGTTTCCACATCAGTGGGAGGATGTTTTGATAAGCATATCGTTCCCACTTGAGGCAAAACACAGACAAAATGTTATTTTCCTATTCTTGACATACTACAACTTTGCAAGTTTCTCTTTTTTTCCTCTAATGATGGTTGTTTATCAAAAAAAGAAATAAATTAGATTAACTTAACTACCTAAACTAATTTTAACTTACCGGTAGTCAGATTTTATATCAGAGAGAAAAAAATATATATTTTAATACATATCATTGTTTTACATAATTATTATTATCAAAATATAAGAATGTATGGGGCTCAATGTGAAAATATGTTCTCCCAGCAGTGGCATCTCCCAGCCATGCATCATTTCACATGGCTACAGTGGACATTCAAAACCCGGACATCCAGTCGTCGCGTTACCGCTCCATGCCCTCACCTGCCGTTCCCCCAGCTGTTTCTGACAAAGGAAAAAAGAACAAAAAGAACAAGAAAAAAGGTGTCAAGCTCTCCAAGGCAGATATAGGAGCACCAAGTGGATTTAAGTGAGGATTTTAGTTGCTGAAAATATTGCAAGTGTTAAATGCTTTATCATTTACAGTTGCTGTTTTGATGTTTTCCTACAGGCATGTAACACACGTAGGATGGGACCCCAACAATCTTGACCCTGACCTGTCGAAGTTACTCTCCCAGGCAGGCATTTCTGAAACTGATCTGAGGGATGAAAAAACCTCCCAGCTAATCTATAATGTCATAGAGCAGTCAGGAGGCATGGAGGCCGTGAAAAGGGAGGTGAACAGAGGTCAGAGCTGATATCTTTATTCCTAATCGATCCTTCTGCTCCCAGGAGCTGAAACTAACTAGGCTTGTTTTCTAATGTGCATTTCCTTCTGTTAACCCCACAGCTGGTCTACCTCCACCACCTCCACCCAGCAGACAAGGACCACTGCCTCCAGTTCCAGGCTCTGGGTCCTCTGCTCCAACCCCTCCACCCCCACGTAGTCGCTCAGGCCCCCTGCCTCCCATTCCAGGCCATTCGCAGCGAGGACCTCCTCCCCCTCACCCTCACGCTCCTCCATCCCGTGGAGGCGTGCCACCCCCACCTCCAACAAGCCGAGGAGGTGCACCTCCACCTCCTCCACCAGCCCATTCTTCAACTCCACCATTTCCACCGTCTTCACGGCCCTCTCCCCCAGTGTCCTCCCACAGCATGCCGCCTCCTCCTCCGCCCTCAAGCCAGCATCGCTCCATGGCTGTCCCTCCACCTCCTGTCCCATCTACACCCAGCAGGGGTGGAGGAGGAGGGGGGGCTCCTGCTCCCCCTCCTCCCCCTCCCCCTCCGCCTCCTCAAGCTTCCGATTTCCCACCTCCTCCTCCTCCCACTGGCGCACCCCAACCCCCTGCTGCTTCATCAGGAGGAGGAGGAGACAGCAGAGGAGCTCTGCTTGATCAGATCAGAAGTGGAAAGAGTCTCAGAAAAGTAGGAAAAAAAATGTCTTTCATATTAGCACCCTTTGATTAAATTTCCATCCATAAACGACTCTCATGTGTCGTTTTGTAGGTAACAGAAAGCTCAGAGCCGCCTCCACCTTCGACGCCAGAGGGAGGAGAAGGCATCGTTGGTGCTCTCATGATGGTCATGCAGAAGAGGAGCAAAGTCATCCATTCCTCTGGTAAGCATCTGCAAACATCTGTAAGGATAATGGTGGCTGAGTGGAAACAAAACAGCAAGAAACTCCCTCATGTTCATGTGTTCACTCTTACAGATGAAAGCGAAGAGGATGGAGGATATGATGACGAAGATGATGATGAATGGGATGACTGATAAGGCAGCGTTTGCTGTGGATTCTGAAATGTTAGTTTTATGCTAATCAACTGTTACATGTGAGGTTTGTTATGAGGCCCAGGTGCTTCAAACTGGAATATGACTTATAACTATTGGAAACTAAACCTGTGCTGGAATTAATAAAACATTTACTTTTAATCTAAATCCACATGTTAGCTGATTTGAATGTGAAATAAAGTGTTTATATATGGTGTGTTAAGAGCCCCAGCTTACATAAATGGAAAAATAAATAATTTTCCTTTATAATTATGGATAAAAAGATGCAGCTAGATAAGCCTACATTTTTTTCTTATATTTTTATGGATATGAGAAAAAGTCTTGCCAACTTAGTTTTTTTCTGTTCCTACTTTTCTGCTTTTTTATATTTCAAATCATCACCACAGGTTAATACTGGAAACAGATAACTTCATTAAATACAATATATTTTTTTGATATTATGATTTTATTGATTAAATAAAATATCCCAACCAATGTAATAATATTTAAAAATGTATTCCCCTTATATGATGAATAACTAATTAACTATGACTGCCACGTTATTTATATATACTCGCACTAACCACACCCAAGCCAAATTAAAGCCAGAACTGTCAAATTAATACAAGATCCTGTCTGTTAGCATGGAGTCAACTAACAGATCTAAAAATATGTCAATCTGATGAAGTGATAAGATACAAAATTCTTATTCTATCAGTCTTGAGAAAGTTACAAAGGCTTTGAGAATATGAGAACATTTATCCTTAAATTTAGGGAAACTAAAATTACTACTCAACTAAAATTAGACTGAATTTGTTGAGAACTCGCTCAGGAGGTCACAAAAAAGCCAAGAACAACATCTTAAGGTCACATTTGTCTCTATTAGGATCAGGGTTCATTAATACTAAGAAACGTATTTGGCAAAAGTTGAATTTATGGAAGAGCTACATATAAGAGAAAAATGCATTTAGAAAAGGCATTTATCTTGCCTTAATGGACGATAAACATGATGGTAAGGGAGCGGAAAAAAAAGCCTATCGTTAAAGAAATGGACAAAAGACTTGCATCCCACCAGATCTTTGAAACATCACTAGATGCTAAAAGGCAACAAATTCAAAAACCCTCATTCCTACTGTTAAATTCTAAAAGCCCTGGGAACTTTTCTATAATGTGTGACATCGTGAAGTTTTTGAAATACCGTAGAATGTAGTAAAATCCTAGTGCAGGGGTCACCAATGTGGTGCCAGCGGGCACCAAGGGTCCCCACATGGGGTTCCCTCACCATCTTCTGAAAACAGCACAACTCACCGGTGGGATAAGTTTGACGTTTTTTGACTTAAGTTTTACATTTTATCCCGCTTGCGTTTACAGGGATTTCAAAATAACAATACCTGAAAGGAAATTATTATTCTATTATGTATGACAATTAGGTGAACATTGACTCCTCCAGTTCATAGTCAGTATCGGTAGCTCTTCCTATGACTCAGTACCAATGAAGCAGTTCTTAGCCTTAAAAATGTTGCCTCTGCCAGACGGCTGAAAACGATTAACAGTGGGTGTTTCAGCAAGATCGTGATCCAAAACCTCTGAATAAATGCAGAAACAGCTCATGAAACACAAAACTAAACTATTCCACGACCATAAGAGCCATTAGACCTGTATATTCTACCAACCTGTGGAATAATGAGTGGGGATTATCAGAGAAAAAACAAGATGATGAAGGATTTATCACAAATTCCTCTGCCATGTTGCAACTTGAAACGGAAAAGTTCTAGATTATACAAAAGTTTTTTTGAATTAAAGAAGACTTTGTTGTCAATTTCCAATTTTTCATTATGAGACTCTTCTACTGTTATAAGAGCTTTTTTAAGGTTTACTATAATAATTGAAAAGGGCTTGTTATCTTCATAGAAGCCAGCATCAGAAACGGGTTCTCTGTCTGAGAAAACAAAAAGTTGTACAGTGTAGGAAAACACAGCAACAAACCATACTACATCTGAGTCAGCTTCTCTCCCATGTTTATCTCATACTGTACATAAAAAAAAAAAAGTTCTTGTCATACATCTGTGCAAAGATCCCCGTTTCCCACAAATGCCACCAACAACAAAGTGCATAACTGGAAGAACACTGTACACTACACAGAACTTCAATACTCACATACTGTAGGTCACCGAAGCACATGACAATAAGAGGAGGGCATTATATGTCCACATCCAATGGAATTAGCTTAACAAAACACATTATATCTCACCAACATCAGAATACAAGAAGTCTGAGAACAGAGTGACTGTGAAATGTACAACTCACAACAAACGACAGTATGCATGCAACATATGCACATGATGGCATATTACAACACAGGGTAACCGAAACAACTGGTCATGACCATTAATATTATATTCACAAAATAATATATTACATTTCTGTTTGGAGATACTTAAAGGAAAGCATACCTGTGTAACTATAGCAGGCTTATCTTCTGCATTGCATTCAGCCTTTTTTGTTTGTTTGTTTTGTAAAGAACACCAAGAAAATGTGACTTCTGTGCTTTGCTCCATTTGAACAGTTCCACTTGTTTTATTTAAGTGGAGTAAAATTACTATACATGGTAATAAAGCTGTTGTTTGGTAACTAGAAATGTATGGCATCATTGAGAATGTGGTCATCAGTAGTGTAAACTGCATCTTTATATGGATTTTTTTAGTGTTGAAACTTGCAAAAACCAACAACTCTTTAATAATAAAATGACCGTATCACCCGACAAAATGAGTGGAAGTGACACCAAGGCTTGTGTCGGAACTTAAAAGTCCAGCATTAAGTCCAGACAGACCGGTGTTTGACAGTCCTGTACTCTAACCCAGACCTTGGTCCTGGCTTTCTGTGTGCCTGCGGCTGGTGCGCTTCCTCTGCTGCTGCTGCTTGGGGGCCACTTGGTCCCAGTAGGACTGGCAGTACTGGTTAATCAGTCTGATCTCAGGCGGGAAGGGCGTTGAAATGACGGGGGACTGAGGATGAGGCCCTGCTTGGCGGGTTTTAGGCTCGTCATCCTCATCCTGAGCGGTGAGCGCCAAAACAATATCCCGATCCAGGATACGTAAAGCCACACGTGCCACAGTGTGCTTAAAGTTATTCTCTGTGGCGAGGCAGTGGTAGAGACCTGCGTCCGACTGGTTGAGAGACTTCAGGAGGATACCCTGGTTGGTTTTCAGAACACCTCCAGCACGATTCAGCTGTAGGTAACAGAATGAAACAGCTTTAAATGTGCAACCTTATAATGAAGGTTAATAATTGCCTATTAATGCAAATACTTTAAACCCTTCTGTACATACCAGAACAATTTGAAAGAATAAATAAAATAATTTAATTTATAAATAAACCTAACCAGAGGCACTCAGTCGTTAACATGCTAAATAGAACATTTACTTTGCTGGTTTGCATCAGTTGCTGTGCATCCTCTTTGCAGGGCTGATATGCCATATTTAGCACCAAGCATTTAGTGAGTGCTATTTGCATTTGGTTCTCTTTTGACTTCAGATAGCTCCCTTTGTCTACAAATAAAATTCTGTTAGCGCAGAAGCGCTCTTATGCATGTAAATGACAGAAAGGATACTGTGTTTTTAAAATGTTGTTGAATAGCTTCAGGTTTTAATATTTTCTCAGGTTAGGGCCACAAGATTAATTTGATTTTATCAAGGTTTTAATTGAACAATCAACATAAAATATGCATAACTGTGACTGAGAGTGAGAAAATCTTTCAAGGTGTCAAACAAGTGAGATGTAAATCTATATTCAGCATCTCTGGGTCAGTATTCCCTATCTACTCACAGAATGATTTCCTATGATATTTTTTTCTTTCAATGCTGACTTTTAGGACTTTCCACAGATATGCAGTTGGATCTACCGTAGGTTAAGGCTTTGACAGGCCCTTTCCAACAGATTCATATTTTTTGATCCAAGCGATCCTGTAGTAGTTCAGACTGTATTTTTAAGGTCATTCTTATGCCTGAAGAACAACTTCTGCCTCAACTTAAAGTCATTCGCCACTTCCAACAGGTTTTCTAATGGTATTGCCACATATGTATCTAGCTCAATTCTAGCCTTTTTACGCAACCCATACCTTTTTAGCCAATAACCAATTTTCATGTAGATTTTATATATCTATATCTATTTTATATATCATATAGATTTTATATATCTTATCTGCTTTTTGCTCGGGTCGGGCCAGAATACCTAGATCCATGTTTTCTGTTTGGATTACACAGGTGATAACATTTAAATAGTAGTTGCTCTAACTCTAAGTTAGGTCAAGAGACCAGATTTCTAGAAATCCTGACTAATGATACCGTATTTTCGCGACTATAAGGCGCATATAAACGTCTTTTTTTTCCCTCAAAATGTGCGGCACGCCCTATAGTGCGGTGCGCCTTATGTGTGTTGTTACTGCGGACGTTTGAGACCACCATGAGAACGTTAAAGGGGGAAGTGTGGGCGTGGATTGTGTATAAAAGAACAGGTATGTGCTTTATGCAGAACTCCTCATCTCCTCATTGAGGAGATGATGAAAGAGTGGCTGAGGGAGTTTTTTTCCACTCATCACTATTGCTGTTAATCTGTGACTCCATGCGTGCCCATCTCACAGCCGATATGAAAAACATGAGGAAACAAATGAACGCTATGCTTGCTGTTATTCCAGGAGGTCTGACAAAGGAACTTCAACGGCTCGACATCGGTGTGAACCGGCCGTTCAAAGTAAGGCTGCGTGTTTGCGTCTGCTGCTTCAATTTTGCTGCTTGTACCAGTTAGTTCTGACGCGCGGCTGAAGCAGCTTTGCTGCTCTGGCTACGCGGTGCAAAAGTGTGTCTGACGCGCGTTGGGCGGAGCTACTCTATCCTTTCTGTGCCTTGCAGCTATGTTTGCTGTGATCAGTGGGAATAAAGTAGTTTTAATATGTTTTTAAGTGAGAAAGTTCACCTGAAAACTTCATCACTGCAGTCAGTTCATCCAGATTACTATCCTGCCTTCCAGTATTATTTTTGTCGGAGCCGCTCAGACCCCCACATACAGCGGTACGCTGTCAGTAGGAATCCCATTCAACAGCAGCCTCTGGCCGGGTCGCCTCCTCGCGGTTCACCACGGCAGCTGGTAGGTGTTTTTCATCTAAATAATCTAAACTGCAGGCACCAGGATAATAAAAGCGAACATATTCTGTCGGCAGATTTCTGCATTTTAAGTTAATTTATGCGTCAATAAACTGTTTTAGAGGAGCGATCACAGCGCTCTGTATCATCAGCGATGTGTCTGTCTCATGGCCAGCTCCCAGGTTTGATTAATACTTTGTAATAAATACATGAATAAAGCACAAACATACTCAGTTTTGCTCCCGCTCTATTTTTAAATACACAGTAGAGGTATTTAAAAGTAGTAGAGGATATTTACCGGTATACAAAACCCGCGCCCTATGGTCCGGTGCGCCTTTTGTGTGTTTTAAATACAGTAATGGCACACATAACTGAGACTGCGCGTTTCAGTACGGTGCGCCTTATGGTTGTGAAAATACGGTAATTATCAAATTCTTCCTCGAAAGTTAGGAATTTCTGCAGCTCTAGTGACTCAGTTTGCACAGACAGCACATCTTGGACCATATATAGTTACCCGGTGCCCTTTAAAGTCTCAGATGGGGATTGAACAGTTCTTTCTTAGATGTTAAAATCTAGGAATTGTATATATATAACCAAATCCTGCTTTAACTTTATCCCAGACACTGTCTGCTGTGTTCATCAGTCTGTATAAGGCTTTTTTTGGGTACCATTTTTTTGCAGTAACAAACCACTGAAGTGGTTTTCAAAACAAAAACAAGGTTTTCATGTGCTGCTGAATACAACCTCGAGCTCAACACTATTCCTTACATTTTGAATTGAAAAAACTTCCTGAACGGGAAGTAACTGCAATCACACTTTTTTAAGACTCATTTGTAAAAAATCCCTGAAAACCTTTTAAACTTCTTCTACAAGACGATAAAGCATTGCTATGTGTTGGTCTATCATATAAAATCTAAATTAATACATATAGGTCACAAAAGATTGTTAAGTTTTGTAGCCTGAGAGTCTTCTTTTTGCTACACAAGTAAGCTGGTTGGGAAAACGTCACGTGTTTTACATCTGTTATGGTTTATCTTTTTTTTTTTGGAAGATGGAGCTGTAATTTGCAACCTTTTAAATTTGATGATTATTATCACCATTGGTAACAGGGTTTTGTGTCTAAACATCTCATGTCTAGAAACAGATTTAGACAGAAACCACTGAATGGTGATTTAAGATAGAGTTTAACATCTTGGATGCAAGCTATCAGTCCTCTCATTATAAGATTGCAGTTAATAAACAAGGCCAGGTTGTTCTGAAGACACACAGGAGTTCATAACTTTTTTCTCACCACTTTCCTTTTGCCCTCCCTCTGGAAGAGCCACTTGACGGTGGCCTGAGGGGAGCGAGGCTGACACTCCAAGAAGGTGCTGCTGCCCTGAACCCCAAACTGCACTGTCTCTCTCAGACGTTTCTCCACTAAACACAAAGCCAAAATAGAAAATTGTTTCAAACTAAAAAGCTACAATTAAACATACAAAACATCTACCAAGTACAACCTTTACCTTTGGCATTAAAGCCTCTGCACTGCCTCAGCGGATCTCCATGCTTTACATCCTGTCTTCTGCTCCTCCTAAAACAAAAAGTTGAGCTTTAAGTAGGACCATCTTACCTTCACTATAAAGTGTAGAAATGTTGCACTGTGAATGTGTGAGGTGATCTCTACCTTTTGGTAGACGGAGTGAAGGCAGAGCAGCTCTCTCCATCCCAAGCGCAATAGGGATCGCGGGCCAGGCAGCAGTCAGAGCAAGCCCTGCCATAGACGCCGCAGCGGTGCAGGGAAACCTGCGTCAGCCCCGCATCCGATGACACGTACAGCTGTTGCTGCAGTAACAAATAACCAAAACTTACTGAACTCAAAGGGGATTTGACTTGCTTTCAGTACATGCATTTAAACAAGCAAGGCATGACAGAAGTATTTATACTCTCTGAACATTTACACACTTTGTCACCTCATTTCTTCTTGCAGGTCTTTAATAAAGAACCCCATTGTGCATTGCATGACTAGTAACTGTCCTGTCATGGGATTCTCTATAAGCCTTTCAAAGCTTTGGACATTGTTTGGTAACCGGATACTGCTTTAACATTCTCCACACTTTTCGGTCTAACCTGGCTGCTCAGCGCCTTTTTTTTTCTACTGATGCTGCTTGTTGAGTAATATTCTCTAACAATCCTTTTAGGCCTTTGCAAAACTGATGGATTTACACTGAGATTACATTAGATGGACTACATTCATAAGTTCTACTATATGCATAAACATCTTGAACTTTGTAGTTGCAATGTGACATTGTGTGAAAATAACAGAGCATGAATAAGATTTTGCAGCATGGGAGTAGAATAAAAGCTTACTCTTTTTGAAGATATTTTCATTGTTTTAACAGGAACTCTGGTCTGTAAATTATGAAAAAAAGAATGCTTAAGCTTATAATAGGTAGAATCATTTTGATGTGACGTATCCAAGGAGACACAGAGACATACCCGAAACACTTCAACTTCCTCCAGAGTCAGTTCTTCCATGGTTGTTGGGTCCTTGGGCAAAACAATGACTTTTTGCACTGTTCCTCGGTCTAAAAGCAACAGAAACATTACTGAAATTTAACATTTTCTTGAAGTAAATGTAATCTTGGCATCTGTGCAGCAGCTTTTTCACCTGTGCCTAAAAATAGGACCTCATAGCGCCCGTCGACAGCGTCCACCTGGTCAACCACAAGGGCTGTGTACCGGTAGTCCACACTGGTCTTCACCACCAGGGGGCGTCGATGGATAGGATAGACTGAATGAAACATGAGGGGATGGGCTCGGATGAAATTGACAGCTTCATCAGAGAAGTTCTTGGATGAGCTGATGCCTGGGGTGAAGGTTCCTCCTGGACACTGGATGCAAGAGAGGGGGAAAACTGGTTTGATTACATCGATTTATTTTCTTTCACTGTGAAAACAATCAGACTTAAACGTACTGTTCCTGGCCGAGGATAGGGAATCTTGCCAGTGTATTCTGTCCATTGGTAGTTGTGGCCATGCTTGTGTGCAAATGGCCCGTTGAAGACATTACGGATGTCAGCCATTGAGTAAACACAGACCGCTGAGCCCTTAAACACAGAGCTAGAGCAAAAACAAAACAAATCATGACAAAGCTGGCCAACCCGATCAATGAAAATGTGTGGATAAAACTAACAAAGGACTAAGAAACATGAACCGAGATTCCTGAAAAGGACTCACCCAGCTGTGGCGAACAGAGCGTACACCATGGGGTTTCTTTCATCTTGTGTTGGTTGAATGAACACATCCCCTGGAAAAAAGAAACAATGACATGCATTTCATTAAGAATACAGCCGGGCAGATGCAGCTAAGACACAATTAGAGACAGTTTCTCAGGACTTTACTCAGTTCATCAAATGATGTCTCCACTCCATCGTCTCCTATCACAGAGCAGACAAGACGGGCTTTCAGGAACGTTGTCCAGCGGTTCACCAGGGATTTCTGCCCTCCTTCATCATTCTGCAGGTTAAACATAAAGGCATGGTTATGTTCATGTTTAATACCTCATGGCAAACTGCATATAAGTGAAAGATAATATAGAAAAGTCCCTTAGTTTTTCCACTTGTGTAATGTAAGAAAAACAGAGTGTGGTTGCATTTATCTACCAGCGGTGCACATTTCTTAGCAACCTTTCACTGTAAAATAGCTTAAGATTCATAATACCAAACAGATTCTTGCCACAGATTCTCATTTAAGTTAGGTCTGATCTTTGATGCATTTCAACTGTAGCTCTGGCTGTACTATCAGGGCAAAAAGATGCCCCTCTACACCAATTAATCTACCTCTAGCAGGTTTTCTTTCAGAAATGTCTTGTACTTAGTAGAGCTGTATGGGTCCAGATATTAAAGAAAATTCTAGATTGGGTATCGGTGAAAATGTCCCCAATCCAAAGGGGCAGATCTATTCAGTGTATCTTTATAACACTTTTAGCTTAGGTTAAAAATCTCATAAACAGCAGAAATGTTTACTCCTTTTATTAGAATCTATCTTAAGTACAGTCCATTTGAACCCTTATCGCTGCACACTTGTTTTCAGGATGAAATTTGTCCAGCTAACACTATTTATTGGTTGTATGACCTCTTTTTTCTGACCTTATATTAATTTTAAGTAGCTTTTTGGAAAATGTGAGCATTCATAGATATCTGCTCATAGAGATGAGATAATGACAGCCTCTTAAAAACCAACAGTAATGATGACAGAATTAAAGCAAACTGTAAAGTACTGCTATGATCAGATATCTGATCAGAGGTGAAAAACAGTGGATCTGTGCATTCCTAATATTTAGATCTATATTTCTTCCTGAATCAATAGAGTAAATAGAGTCACTCGGTCAGTTGGTTAAGGAGGGCTTTTTTTAATACTGAGCTTAGATTACCTTCTCTATTTACTAATAAGGGATGTTCAAACTCAGTTGATTGAAGTGGATTTTATTGACGGGTATCAGAGTAATGGGGTTTTACTGAAATTCATGTCACCTTTTTCAGATCTTGATTTATTTAAAGAAATATTCAAACCTTTGAATAATTTTCCTTCTTCTTCATATTTACACAATACTATTTATTTCTTATGACATGAAAGTATGACAGAAAAAACCCCCACAGAGGTTTGTGGCTGCAACATGAAAAGATACTTTAGTATGGCACCAAATTGTCTCTATAATTCTACTTACCAGACACACTCTCCCCACCCGGGCTAAAACCGTGGGGCTCGCCCCACCACTGGTGTCTAGACTCTTCTCCCGGAAAAAGAAGTAAAGTTTGTCGTCGTTCCTTTCTGCACTGTCAGGGATCTGCTGGATCTGGATAAACACCGGCTCTGGAGGATAAAAACAGATAAGCAGAAAAGGGGATTGGAACGGGTGGTTGTCAAACAAAATAAGAGGACCTGTAACCTGTAATCATTGGCATTTACTTCTTCATACCCACACTTACTCACCGTTGAGCCACCTGGAATCATACTGCTCCGTCCGGATAGCTGTCCTCCCTCCCATGGTCCTAAACAGAGCAGCATCTGTGCTCATAAAGTCAATGTGTACACCTGCGTACAGGTTACCATCTGCAAAGATAAGCACAGTTTACTGGGCAGCTTATCTCCCATATGAGTTATTTTTTTCTGATGAATTATTTAGACATTTCTTACTGATGAGGAGTGCAACATTCTCTTGTTTGGGATCATAGGAACATTTTCCCTTCCCTGAATCCATATAACCAGCAACCAGCCTAAACAGGTAGTCCTGCAGAGGCACATCAGACAAAGAGTGTGAATAAAAATAGACTGCCATGATGAGAGCATAAGGAAAATCATAAACAAATCAGTGTCCCAGTTTGCCGTCCTGAAATATTTAGCAGGACAAAGCTTTCCAGGTCTGCACTGCTGGGGGCGTTTTACTGTAAATTCCACTAGGGGAAACTGTAAATGCCTTGTTCACCTCTGCCCTCCAGCCTCGGTTGATGAATGTGCAGATGGGTTGGTACGCCCCTGTGCCGCAGGTGTAGAGGTGGGTGCGGTTCCATGGCTCTATCAAGCGCACAAAGTTGGCACATTCGCCCTGGACAGACGAGCAAGATGAATGGAATTCAAACATCGCTGTAGGATCATGAAAGATTTATTATTTTTATTAAGTACTGGATCTGAGCACAAGATCCCACCTGTCTACCCTTTCCTGTCATCTGGCATTCACCCTTTCTCTTGGCAGAGGCTGGCCAGTGGATCTGCATTGGAGAACACATAACCCAAAATAAGATCACCGCACACTTAAGACCCCATGCCAAACTTTGGAAGAGTTTATACGTACTATAAGCGGCTCCTTGTTGACATTTTGCATGTCCAGAGCAACCAGGTACTCCCGGCTGCCCAGGTACAGGCGGCCCTGATCCTGATCCATGAGAAGGATGCGGTAGTCACTGGTGTTGAAGGAAAAACTGAAGGGTCGCGCAGCTTTCGTGTCCATGAGCTCTGGTGGAAAATGTTACAGCTTTGTTTTAAAACCTTTGGAGTGTTTTAGGAAAAGCTGCAGAGGGCAGAGCAAGCGGCACACATGTTACCCCCCCTTATGCCTTTGCCATATTTTCATTTCCAACTTGGATGAACTTATGGTCCCTGGAACAACACACAAGTTAGAAGTTTTTTTTAGGGAGGAAAATGTGTGTCACTTATTAAATATGACTCAATGTGGAGTGTTTCAAAAAGCATATTCGCTTTTAAGATCTCAATATTTTATGCTTCCTGGTGTCTGATTGGGTTTAAGGCCCTACATGCCTTGTGGAGTTGGAGGAAAAGCTGTGCAGGTCCCTTAGGAAACATGGTCAGTAGATCTCCCAGCTAATTCTTAAGATCAGGTCTGTGTTCAGCAGAGCATAGCATGTTAAGACATGCAGCAGTGGAAAATGTTTCCCTCTTTTTGTTCCCCTAAAAGCTTAGATTGAATCTTTTTCAGCTACTGAAAGACAATTGGCCTAATTCAGAACTTAAGATATAATCCAATTTATTGTTTCAGTTTAAAGACATAAAAAGCCCCCCAACACACCCACACATCTGTGGCATTTCTGAAATACTGGTCACCATATGTGCTTCTTAGGATACGAGGAAGGCATGTTAAAGACAGCAGGCTTGAACAATGACAAATGCTCTCAGTGAGTGTCAGAAGACGGCTTACGGGGATTCAAGAGGAAGCGCAATCTTTATTTACATCAAAGTGCCTGCCATCCTCCTTTTGAGGCCTGTGTTAACAGGATGCAGTGGAGGTGCCACTAAAATAAGCCTCGCAGTCGGATCTCCGGTCAAAGCGGGAATGGAGTCTCTGAGACGGAACAAGGTCCGGTCCTGTTCCCAAGAGGTAAACACAGGATAACAAGTCGAGCCACCATGGCCGCACTCCAACATGAGCCTGCTGGACTGACTGAACGGGCTAAATGTAGCAGCACCGCACCCCTGTACTTGTCTCTATTCACCAAAAATAGCAAACAATGTCCTGCTGTCATCTGGTAAACATTCAGCAAACACGTATCGTCAGATAACATTCTGACATCGATAGGGGAAACACTGGGAAGGACATACTGGGAAGTATGGGGCCCACTACGAACTCTCAGGTTACAGCCTGACAGCATATTGTTACTATAATGACCAACACCACTTAGTCCCAGACCCATCTCCTGCATGTACCAACTGGTGACAGCACCATGAGGGAAGGACATTCTAAAACGCGGCTTCATTTACACGGCACGTTCTGCTTTCTAGCAATGCTTTGAAGTTTTTTTAATTGAGTCAACGTCCAGAGAAACAACATAAAGTCCCTGTCCTCTGCAGGCCTCATGCAGCCTCAGTGTCACTTAGTCCAGCACAATCGCTCAGAAGAGTCACATGTCCTCCAGCCGCCCCAAAACCTCCTCCACAGGCGCCTCAGGGAACAAAGGGGCTCGCTGTCACAAACAATGAACAATAAATCCTTGGAGTGGCAGAAAACAGTTGGGGACTAAATCCAAACCTCACTACTTTTTGTTCTCTTCTAGGGGGAAGGGTGTGCAGAGCGCTGCTTTATGACTAAAACCTAAGAGTTGATCTAAAACTTTTAACAAGCTGAAGTGTGTGTGAGAGCAAAGCACTGCTGAGGCATTTCTCAATCACAATGTTGAGTTCATGCTGAGTTGCACAGTTGTTGGGTAGTTTAAACCAAACAATGGGTCAAAAAAGTTGACCTGCTTTCTCGGGTTAACGATGAAACAAAAAAGGAGCTTCCTCACCCCTTCAATAGAACAGAAACTAACAGGTTAGTTCATAGAAACAAAAGTTATATAGGATATAGAAATAAATCTAGGTTTTTAAAGAAATAAAAAAAGAAACACATTCAAACAAATATCACAATCCCCATTAGACATTTTTCTGTATATTTTGGTTGTTTTGCGTTGTAGCTGTTCCTGTTGGATAGAAACAGTTAGTGAAGCTGCTTGTTTCCTTTCATTGACCTGCAGCGTCTGCCTGAGGGCAACAGTTCAAACAGAGCGTGACCCTGGTGAGAAGTCTCCTTTTTGACATTATGCGCATTTTGGGGAAAGAGGGAACTGGCAGGAAATGCTTTTTACGATTGCAAAACCGTTTTATCAGGTTTATCTTAACCGCTTTGATGATATTAATGATGTCAGTGGGTTGAGTTATCAAGATTAGTATTTGTTTAACTAAGAAATCATTAGCTTTTTATTACCTTAGTAGTTGGTGCAATGCAATACTATATACGTTTAATATTCACATTTTGAAAAAATACTCATCAAGTCAATATAGATGCTGATTTTTTCTTTAAGGAGGTGGTTTCAAAACATTTAGCCTGTTGGGTTAATATCACTGTCTCGATTACTCATGGGGACATGTTGAAGAACGACAACAAAATTGTTTATTCATTCAGCCACTTAAAAAATAAGCTTAATGCCGATTATTTAGATGAAATAAAAAAATAAGTCTGCCCTTGTAGAAAAAGGGACAAATCAATCATTATAGATCCAATGCTTCAAATGGCTTGTTAAAAGGAATGCATGCAATTTGAAATCACTGGGAGGTATACTTGTTTCCTATAAGAGCTGGACCAGATATTCTCTATCTATCTAACAGCAAGAACTAAAAGTGTGTCATTTTGTTTTTTTTAAAACTTGCTGTGTTTAGTCAAGTTTACAAAAGCACAAGGTGCTATTTTTATGTAAAAGTCACTTGATACGTTGGTCTTACTTAAAATAGGCTTAAATTAAAGTGACAAAAGAAATATACCTGATTCTATGGAAAGCAATACTTGTATTCATTGGAGCCTGACATTCAGAAATCTTCTTGCTCAATTAAAACGGATAGTGTTGAAGTTCAGCAGTTTTAAGAAAGTTTTAAGAAGTTCCAAAAAACATGATATAATGGTGGAGATTGCTGTAGCAGTTGCTTAGCTACCAACAAGGAGGAAACAGATAAGCGTATCAGGAAAGCTAGTGGTGTCCTAGGATGCTCCCTAATCCCAGTACAGGAGGTTGGAGACAGAGTGACTGTGGCAAAACTAACATTAGTGTTGGAAGATGCCTCCCATTCAAGTAGCTGTTGTAGAGCTGAAGAGCTCCTTGAGTGAAAGACTCAATGCACAAAGGAGCGTTATCGCAGATCTTTCTTCCCAGCAGACGTTAGACTTAATAACAGTCGCAGCTCTCAACAAAATAATTTGCTTTTTGCCCTTTACTTTGCTGCTAGAACACAATCTTTACTGTCCCACTGAGGAACAATAGGTTTTTTCTATTCTATTCAATGCCAAAAGACAAAGTCAGAGTTCCCACTGTCAGATAAGACCAATAATTACACTGTTAACATAATGTTCAGCTCAGTTTCTTGAGTCTTATTGGTGTTAGAAAGAGCAAATGTTTATATCTTATGTTAAAACACGATCATAAACCATTTTAACACTGTAAACCAGGAACATTTTCTTTACCTTTTAATTCAGTTCGAACCCAATATATGAGATAAGGTAGGCTTTAAAAACATATCTAAATATCTCACTGAAAATGTTCATGTAGGTAATATCTTTAGGCTACAAACTTTTATTTTCTGACTGTATTGTTCAAAAGCAGCACTTGGGAGGCTGGGTGTATAGTTTGCTTATATTGTGATTTATGTTGAAGGGGAAACAAACGTGACTGATCAACTGCCAAGGTAGAATAGAAGGTGGAATACATGATAATGTACTTGTTATATATTCATCTTAATGACATAAACTCATACTATACCTTTAGCCTTTTTACCTGTGAAAATTGAGTTTCAAAAAACTGAGTGTAAACTGGTTCTAGCCACGTTAAACATTCATACTTTGACCAATCGTCCAGTCAATATAAACACTGTTACAGACTGAGTATGAGCTCTGCTCTCCTGTATTTATCTTTGGAGTAAATAAACATCTTGTTATCCACATTATGAGGTTAGTGAAAATTTTTGGGGGTAAAAGATTTTATTTGCAAAATTAATCAGGAAGTAACTAAACTACATTTGAAATTTGTTGTTTATGAATCCAGGTGATAGATTTTTCTTCTAAACCAACTCTTAGACTGCCGTTATGCATCGTCTCGTTACTGTTATCAGGGTTATTATTAACTAAAACTAATGAAAACTCAAATTAAACCTCGCAAAACAGGGAAATGAAGGTTTACAAAGCTAATTAAAACTAATTGCATTTTAAGAGAGAATGTGCTTACTTTTTATTTGTGTCTTTATCATAATGCATTAAATTGAGGTCAAGGCCCCAGTTGCTGTTTTCGCTTTTGTTGTTGTGCTGCATTACGTTAGTAGGCGGCAATCGGGTCATTTGTTTTGCCTCAGTGGTCTGCCCTTATCTTGGATTTCATTTTCACTATTTTATTTATTTTAGTCTTGCCTCATATAAGTCGTATTATACGCCGGGGAGTGGCGGTCTAGTGGTTAGGGCATTGCCTTTGGAATACAGAGGTTCTGAGTTCATGCCCCTCTGCCACAGACTGCCACTCTGGGTCACTGAGCAAAGACCTTTAACCCCACATTGCTCTCCGGGCGCCACACAATGGCAGCCCACTGCTCCCCAAGGGAAGGGTTAAATACAGAGAGTGAATTTCATTGTGCTATACTTGTCAAAGTGTAATAACAATAAAACTCTGGAAAAGAAAAAAAAAGTATTACACAAAAGATGAAATCAATAACGAAAACTAATAAAAACTAAACTGAAACTGCATTTTCAAAAACTAAAAACAAAACTAAATGAATGAACACCTACTAAAAACAAATTCAAACTCAAATAGATTTGAAGATCAGAAGTCAAAACTAACTGAACAAAAACATAAAAACCTAAAAACCATTTAACCCTTGACAGGTATTAATATATACAAAGGTTTGACAAGGTTTTGTTTTTTCTGAAAACTTTATATATTTTCTATCAGTCTGATGAATGGAGGACAGAGAAGTGCCACACTCCCTCAACCACACGTGCTACACCCTGCTGGTCAGCTGGCCTAACAATGGCTACTCCTTTGCTTTAAAAAAATCAAATTCAGCTGTTTCATAACCATTAAAATTTATTAAAAAGGAGATATATGGATCTGAATCAAGCTAGACTACGTCCAAACTGATGTTGCATCATATAATGCAGGGCTTGGTTGGAAAAATAAACCAAACTGGGTTGTTTTTTTAACACAACAGTTCTAAGAAGGTATGTAAATACCTCTATCTAAGAAGAACAAATTCAAGACCAAACTTGCCGTATTGATCCATCAACCATACTGTGGTCACCAAGCTCCAAAAACACCCTGCTAAGCTATTTACCAAGAGGGGGATTAGAGTTAAAGGTCACATAAAAATGCATGGCAATTACTCTCTCAGGACTTGGATGGTTCTATCTCTGGGGTTATCCGCAGCATGTGGACAGCTGTTGTCAGCATTACAAAATCAGAAGAATGCACAGCAGCCCTGCACGTACACCACCAGTGTTTCTGTCATCCTCAGATCTCACGATTACCTCCGATCTACCTTCGATTTCTTTTTTAATCTGTAAATCACAGATGTTTATGATTGAATCGCTGCAGTGTAACAAGATAAGAAGTCTAGACCTTATTTTGTCCTCCCCCTGCTTGAATCAGCTGCACATCAAAGCACTCAAGAATGTTATAAATCTGATCCACACCTCTAATTTTCACGTCCATGCGGTGTCGGGCATGTGTTCTGTTCTCACACATGCCCCCCCTCCTCGACTAGATGTGACACCGTGACAGGGAGGCAGAGATAACTGTAATCATCCCGCATTGTTTTGATCAAAGGTGTCGTCTTCATATTTGTGAGGAAAAAGCTCAGCCATCACAGATAATGAGTGCAGGTGAGCAGAGAACACGGGGAAAATCCCACATACCTTTGCAATAAAAAAAGCTTCAAAAACTTCATCCTCTCCATCTCAGCAAAGTCTTTAACATCTCTAAATATCAGTGTTGCTCCTGTGATCAAGTTTCAGGTGTTTTTTTTTTTTTTTTTTGGCTGACATCAAAACAAAGAAAGAACCTGACATGTCACCACATCATGGTGCGTGAGGGTTTTAGGGTGGGTGGAGAAATTCTGCCAAAGGGCACAAGGAGTAACCAACCACACGTAACATCCACCTTTTGTTTTCAGTGCTCCACTGTTTGACATGCTGCAGGAAATACACTCTTTACATACGGATAAAACGGAAACAAAACCGCTGGCGTGAACAGGTTTGCGAGTCTGCCAGGGATTTAGTCGGACAAAAACCAAACAAATCAACTGTTTTAATAAACCCCCAAAGGCAGAGGAGTTCACTTCATATGTATGAGCTCACCTTTGAAGGAGAGGCGAACCCGCGGTGCAGACTGCTGCACGCCCCAGCCTCTGTAAACACACAGGGCCAACAGGAGGAGCTGGGCTCCAGATGCTGTCATGGTAACAGTCATGCAGGTAGCCCACAGAGATCTAAATCTGGACAAAAGAAGAAAGAGGAATGAGCGTTATTATAGAGTGCCCCATGAGAAATGGGAGACAGAGGGAAAAAAAAGAAGAAGGACGGACTCTCTCTGATGTCTCTGATCAGACGCTTGGCCTGCAGCCGTCTCAGACGAGGCGTGTAGTTAGGCAGGAGAGAATAACGTCCAAATCTTCACACCTGCTCTGGAAAATATGACAGCCCTATTATTTATTTAGAGTGTAAATGTAGTGAGGTATGTGTTAGGACTATAAAATGGAGCTTGCAAGGCTGGTCTGTTAAAAAAAAAAAAAAAAACTAGCAATTACTCTAGATTAAAATCACCTAGCCTTCCTCTTGGACAAATTCTTCTACAAACAGCACTTAGTTCGGCATGTATTTTACTCACGTTTTACCTGCACAGAGAAGACAATGAACATGCCAATCAATGATTCCCCTCCGGCTCTCCCTCACTCTTTCTTCCAACAAAGCACTCAGAGGCTGATGAGTGGAGGACATGACAGTTCAAAGAAACAGGTAACCCTGGCTGAAACAATCCCTGACAGTTAAGGGGTGTTGTGAAACTTAGTCCAACTGTTAGACTTTAACTCGGACATTCATTATGCATCTGCACTTTGCTGGAGAGGATCCCATATAAATTATGAATACTAAAAGCTGAGTCCATAACATCCATTAAATTGTCTCCCTTAAGGTGTGCTTTGCTTCGGGTCTATAAGCCATCCTTCTGGTTTTATTCTCCCCTTCATGAGATCCAGGCAGCCGCAGCTTCCAGGGCACATGCCTGGAAATTAGTAGGTGTTGGAGGGGAGGAGGGGTATTCATGGTGAAAATAGGAGTGTGATATGAAAAAAAAATGGGTGCAACACATAATCTGGAAAACATGTTCCTTGAGAAAGAGATTTTAAACATTCTGATGAAGCTGAAATAACAGAAAATGAGGAACAGAGGCTGCCCTGGCAGCACCTTAAACAACCTTCCTGGCATCATGACACAGATCTGCTCACCAGGGAGATTCCAATTGCCTCCACCAGATAATTTAAAACCACAACAAATAAAATACAAGGGCATCGCACAATGATTTCAGTAAATCAATTTAAAACACAAAACATCTATGACGCATGGATTTATTACACACAGAGGGATTTGTTTCAAGCATTCACTTTTGATTATCCTGGATTAAAACCCATTAAATTGGTCAGATGTAGCAAAAGATAAACATGTAAAGTATTTTGACTGTTTTAGAGAAATGCTGGACTACTTATTTCTAGATCAGGCTCCTTTTACTTTATTAAGACATCAATGGCATGGAGGAGATGTTCAAAATTCAGCTTATCTACATAAATGGGTGCAGAGTATCTTGTTGGGGATTCTCTCTGGTGTTTAAATAAGGCCAGATACTTGGAACCAGGAGCTGGTACTTCCAGCTTTAAGGGACAGGTGGGATGCATGTAGGCTGTAGAGGCTGTCCCTATTGCTTGTCTATCTCTTTCTAGTCCTCTCAACTTTCAGTTAAAATGAATGGATACAGTGATCTACGAAGAGCAGGAAACATTTTTTACTGGAGGAATTTAACATTCATGTCTTCTCACAACCTAATTTTTGATTTTTATTAGTTATAATCCAAATTCATCATATTTAACAGAAATAAACACTTGACCATGATTGGGTTAACCAAAGAATATAGAAATATCATTTTTTTTCCCTTTCAAGAATAATTTTCTATCTTATGGAATAGTTAAAAATCTCAGTAGGAATTTTAGCTTCCCAAGAGCTGTAAGGTATAGTAATCAAAATGGACATAATAAACGAAAATAATCATTGCTGGTGATAAGTCTATATCAATATATATTAATGAATTAATCAATTAGCTTTACTTTCTGAATTGAAATGAAATCAACCCCCTTTTTAAAATACTTTCCACCTCACAGAGTTGCACCTGTAGGCACATACTGTATATAAGATTATATTAGTTAATACGAATAGGAAGTCATATGAACATTTCTGATATGATCAACCCAAACATATAACAGGATCTAATCTGTATGTATAAAAGAATAAAACAATAGATTAGTGATTGTTTTACATCTCTTTAAATATTAAAAAGTCACTTTCTGATTTTATTAGTCAGGTTCCTTTTTCCTAAAATATCTTATTGAGGCTCCTCTTATAGATGGTCTGACTTTGTGGTATATTTGCACAGCGGTTCTTTTGGTTTTCTGTGCTGGGTGGGAGCTGCAGGCCAGATTGAAGTCCTGCTGTAATAATATATGGCTTCTCTTTAAATAATTACAGGATTTCTTTCAGCTTCTTTCTTAAGCGGAGGAGTGCGCACTTACCTGCGAACTCAACATCCAGAAATAGGAACATAATGCGCACCCTCCAGCCATCTAAAGGATCACAGACTGTGCTACAGAGTAACCAAAGGCGAGTTAAAAGTTAAACCAGTGTTAAGTTACACGTCCTTACCTTTGATTTCCGCAGAAAGAGGCTAAACTTGCGGGATGTTACCGCGGCATTACGCGCGTTGTGCGTCTTTTGGTCCGAAATGAAAGAGAAGAGAAAAAAAAATGTCTTTCAGCTTCAGATCTGCGCAGGGAATAAAACAATCCGAAAGGTTTGGTAATTCCTCTTAGATAATAGGAGGGGGGAAAGAGTCAACAATACCGAATCAGTCGCTTTTCACCAAAGGTATTCATCTGCGTAACAATAAAAAAAAGAAAGAGAGAGAATGGTATCAGAGCTCCTGAAAGGTTTTTTCCCCCAAAAGTTTGTGCTGCTAAAAACCAGGAGAGATGATCAAGAAACAGGGACTTTAAATGGTTCCTGTGGGAGAAGCAAAGTGACCAGGTGCAGGTGTTGGGCTGGTGATCTGCCCCGCTGTCCTCTCCCGTCTGTTCTGCCCCCAGCCCTTCCCTCTCCTGTTGGCCCACAGCAGCATTGGACCAAACCTCTCAGAGCACCATATGGGTGTGATTAACCCTGTCAGTGCTGGTGGAGCACAGCACAGCCAGACCTGAATGAATGAGCCTCTCCATTGGTGTAGGTTTGCATAGTGAACACAGGGACATGTCCCTACCAACATTTTGGACCGACCTACTTGTCCCTAAAAACAATTAGATGTGAATAACATGTTTATAATTTACAATACAGAGGTGTTGCAGCAGTAAAGGAGTTCTGGAAGGAGAATATTGACAGACGAAAATTTTTTATCTAAAATGAAAATGTATATATATATTTTTTTTTTACAATTTTGGTATAATTCCTGCTCTAAGTGGCTCGCCCTGTGAGTTAAAGACATGTTTTAGAGTCTCTATACTCCAGTTAACGATTAATCCATTTCTACATTTTTCGACATTATTTCATTTTTTATTACCCAACAGTGGGTAGCACTGCTGCCTTGCAGCAAGAAGGTTCTGGGTGTCATTCCCAGCCCTGGGTCTTTCTGCATGGAATTTGCATGTTCTCAATGAGCATGTGTGGGTTCTCTCCGGGTACTCCGGCTTCCTCCCACAGTCCAAAAACATGACTGTAAGGTTAATTGGCTTCTCTACAGTCCCCTTAGGTGTGAGTGTGTGTGTATGTGTGTGTGAATGATTTTTTGTCATGTTTGTCTCTATGTTGCCCTGGGATGGACTGGCAACCTGTCCGTCTCTCGCCCATTGACTGCTCCAGATACGCACCAGCACCCCTTGCAACCCCACTCGTGATAAGCGTGCTAGAAAATGGATGCATGTGTTGATGACAGCATGGATGGATATTTCAATAATAGATTCACAATTCATTAGATTAATCTAATGAATTGTTTCAGCCCTAGATAAAATACATAAAATGGGTTAAACAGAGTAACTACAGCCATGATGTACAACTTGTAGAGTGAAGTCAATGTTCTAAAAGCTCAGTGTCAGTTCTTCTTCTAGTTCCAGTGCTCATGTAAATTAACTTAATTTATTTGGCGTCCCTTGAATCTATTATTTTGCTTTGTTTGTTTGTTTGCTTTGAAATAGAACATTTAAATGAAAAGGGTGGGTTTTACCTCTGTTTACCTCTGCACAATTCTATATCTTTAAAAGAAAAACAGGATAAATCCACACATAACAGACATATTTAGACTATATTTGGTTAAATGGGATTTACCTACAGTTTTAGTTCCTGGTAATTTCAAATGCAAACCTTTTCAAAGTGGAAAATAGTCCTAAGTCCACATTCATTAGAGCCAGTGATGCTTCAAACATTGATAAACAGCATCTAGTGTGTGTAGTGCTTATAAAATATGTGTAAATCTAACAAGAAATGCTGCTTTTCTCTTTAAATGAAATACACCCTGATTTTCATGTCAAGCATAAAAAATCAAGCATGCATATTTTTGCCTAGGACCTCAGACCAATGGTGTCCCTAGCAAAGTTGAAATCAAACCTATGCCCTTGTTCTGAGCACATTTTAAATTGCAGAAGCCCTTATTTTCATTATAGAGTTTATTTAAACCGGGAATAAAATGTCATGACTGAGAGCGAGAAAGCATGAGGATATAAAATACAGATGAATTACAAAAGCTCCCTCCGCTGGCTTTCATAACTTAGAAATATTTTCAATCTCATCACAACCACATATTAAAGATGTTCAGATAAATGTTGTTTTAATCTAGTGAATTTGTTAATAATATATTAAGGTTATTTTTAAAGGTATAGAGAGCGATCTTTTATTTCCGGGTGGATCATCAAAATAAGTGGTCCTCCTGATTGTCAATCATTCTGGTGATATGTTTACGTCTTATTTGCTCGTCCCCAGCTAGGTACGTTTTTTTTGCGCATGGACACTTTCAGCACTTTATTTTCTACATTTTCATTCAGTTGAGCTCACCTTTTTCACAGCAGTTCTTAGAAAATGATCTGAGTCGTAAGAGAAAAAGTGTCTACAAAGTGCATGGGAAGAAGGCAAAGGTATCAGAAGATAGAAAAAAGAGTAGATTGTTCTTTCACGTGATGGCGTACATTGAAAGCACAGGTCGGGCTTCCCACTGATGCTTCTGTTGCAAAGTTTCTACTCGACAGGTAAAATTTGGCATGCTATTTGGAGAAATCCATTTCACATCACTGCTAGTAAAGGTTTTCTACCTCTATATTGTAACTTTTCAGGGAAGATAAGTTTATTTATTTTGTAATTTGCATTGTTAGTAGTTATACGTCGGCCAAAGATCCTTATTCACCCCCGCAAACAGGTCCAAATTTCCACTTCAGCACACACACATACATGCATTTCATTTTTTTTCCTTTTATGTACCAGTAGTCTTATTTTCAGTGAAACTTTTTTATTTATGAATATGGATGAGATGAGATCTATCCGAGGACTGTCTTATCATTGCATCACCCCACCTCCTCGAGGAGAAATAGGGTCCTGCATGCTCTCACACGCATTTTTTCCCCTCTCAGGAGTAGGGTCGTGCATGTGCTTTTTTTTTAAGTGGAGAGGGAGGGTCTTTTCAAAACACTCGACAAAATTCTCCACCATATCTTTAACTGATTAATATGACTTGTATTTACCATCCATCAGAATCATTTCCAATTCTATAAAGCTCAAATTTGCACAAAAAAAAGTTACAAAAAAGCATTTTAATCCAGTCAGAGCCAGTTAGATTCCAGTGTTGTCTTAAGTTATCAGACAACACGAGTTCATTTCCCTTATTCAAATTGATGTAAAAAAAAAAAAAAAAAAAAAAAAAAAAAAAAAATGGGTGTAGACTGATCAGCAGCATGAAATATATTCTATAGTAAGTTTGTTTTCTTTTACCTTTTTCTGAATAAGCTGTGAGTTCCCATACAGGAGTGTTTTTTTGTGTTTTACTTTCCATTCATCTGCTCTTTGTTTGTTGGGTTCATTGAGACATTTCCCATGCAGAGAAAGGAGTTGGCTGTGTTTACAAGCAACCATATAAAAAGGCTATTAGTTACTTATCTATATCCATCCAGTTACCAACAGTCTTCTCTGACGCAACAAGCAAACGGTAGTTTTGAATTTGGATCTGTTAATATTCTACTTTATCCAAATACCCCATGGAAATCCCAGTTTATACCTGAGGCTGGCCCTGTGGTGAAGTCTAACACACTGCTACACTCTGGGAGTCCAATAGTTTCCTCCTAGCAGAACCTGAGCTGAATAATTCAGCTGCACTTTGTGATGGCAGTCTCACTTTTTTTTTTTTTTTTCTCAAGCACTGTGAGAGTCACAGGCTATTCTTGATACATCAGCAGGAGCTGAAATTTACTATTAAAGCTGGAGGAGTGGGGCCTGCCACTAGGACTGTGTCACCATTGCTTTTCAGCTCCACAAGAGAGCTGGGTCAGCCCAAAAAGATTCCCGGGATTCCTCTCTGGCTGGCACAAGCGCTCATGACAACAGTGACAAAGCAACCAAAACAGGGGGGAGGGGGGCAGCTGGATGTAAAGAACACCCATCCTGCTAAGAGCGCCTCAAGCTTGAAACTGAAGCCGGTTCTGAGCACCTCAAATCTTTGTGGAGGCCTGTGACGCATGATGGGGCACTGAAGACAAAAAAAGCAGAGGGTGAGTGTATTCTGAGCCAGTGCCCCTGAAAGACAGTCCAATTAAATAAACGCAGGAGGAGATGTGGTGTGTGAGTGTATAAAGTTCACAGAGGAGTGCCGTCACCGGCGCAGTTCACAAAGCTTTGGGTTATTGCTTATCTTTTAATGAGTTGAAATGACTTTGACACTGACACGGCACGGAGGCCATGTTTAAACCCTGGGTGAGAGCCAAAGCTGATCCACCAGCAGCTGTGTGTCAAAGTGTGACCAGGAGGGAGGCTTTGTCTGCCGCCCTATAGGAGGCATCCCTCTGTTTCCAGCAAAGGAAGTGAGTCACCGCTCTGTGTCCAGTTCAAGTTTCCGTGTGCTCCAAACTTTGGACACGGACAGCAGAACACTGACCAGCTCCCAGCGTTTTATTGGCGCCCGTTAACGTCATCAGACTCTGTCAGTGCATCATCATCATCATCTATCCTTATCTACCTCATATCCGCACACTGCTGTTTCATTGACCCAGGGGGCAGTGGAAAAGGTTGCTTCCTCACAACAGAAAAAAAATTAAAACTTGATCTATCCTCTATAAACATTAGATTTTTTTTCACGTTACAACAAAAACTTCTCAGTATTTTATGGGATTTACTGTGATTAACAAACATGAAATATAGTGCATATATGTGAGAAAAATAATCATGCAAGATTTTAAGTTAATTTTAATCTAAATCCACCTTAACTGACAGGATTAGGTGAGGAGAGTATTTTTTAGAGAGGCATCCTATAGTAGCTCTGGATAAGCAGTAGAGATTGTCAAGTTGGGGAAAATCTGACAGAGCAACAATTGTTTATGTCCTGAGTTTATTCTACAGCTTATTGGCCAGGGAAATGATGCTCTATGTAAAATTGGCAGACATGCATTTTTAAAGTGTTGTAGATGCTGTCCCAAATGTTGTAATTGTATTGATAGTTTTAAAAGAAGCCTCTTATTTCCAGAGAATGGATGAATTTTATACTATCTAGAGTGACAGTATGAATTTGAAACCGCGCCCCCCTATTTCTGCTCAACAAAGAGATGGTCTAGAAGATCTCTGTGGCTATCTAAGACAGACATTAATAACTGCAGAGCGACCAACATCTCCAGATAAATCGTTTTTCCTCTGAAGCATCAATCAGTACTGTTCCAGAGACATAGTATTTGTACCCCGGAGTTAAAACAACCTATTATCTGTCCTCCTGCTGAGGTCTCCTGTGGTATATTGATGAAGTGAAAAGTGTCTGAACATGCCTTCAACTCAGAGGCATGCCCTGGCCTGGAAACATGTGGCCCTTGGAGAAAATGATGCACAACACCTTGCAAAAGTATTTCTATGCCATGCAGTTTTCCACATTCTGTAAAGTGTAAAGTTGTAACCACAAAAGAAAAAAAAACATCTTATTGGGAATTTATGGGACAAATGAGATGAAAGTAAATAATTATTTTAAAGTAGATTGGAAATGATTAATGGTTTTTTCACAAATAACAAAAATAAAATATATATATGTAAGGTGTGGCACGCATGTGTCCTAAGACCTGTCACTACTTTGAAAAACCACCTTTCAGTTCTATTTAGGCTTCATTTGGTTTGGTTTATGTCTCAACTAGCCTTCCACATCTAGTCACTGATATTTTTGCACATTCTTTTTAGCTTTATATAGAGAATGTGTATGAACATCCATTTTCAAATCTTGAAGTAGATTCTGTGTTAAGTGCAGGTCTGATCTTTATAACATGCCATGCAAACAAACTGATATGCTACTCTAAAGTTCACCTGGATATATAACTAGAGTCTGATGTGCAACACCAGTTTTAGTTGTTTTGCAGCCTCTGACAGGTTTTCTTTCACGATTGTCCTCATACATCAACTCTGGCCAGCATCTGTCCCTGCTGAAGAACAGCAGCCCACAGCATGACACTACCACCTCTTTTATGGCGAGAATCATAAAGTCAGCATATTTTGTCTAAGTTGATTTGTACTGGCATTAGAGCAGTTTTTCATGTGTCCACTCCCATGACTTTCCCTAAACTGCAAACAGGAATTGTTGCGTTATTTATTTATCTATTAAATGACTTTCTTATCTCCTTTTTATCATTATAGACTAATTTATTTCTGCTGGATGTCTAAACGTGCATCTCTATAGCTCCTCCAAAGTTACTCGGTTACCCTTTTGATAATGCTGCCCTTATTCTCTTCAACTCTATCCCTAATCTATGTAATACCTTACTTTTTTATTTACTAATGTTCTTTAATAAATATCTGAGGCAATAATAGACTAGCCTTATTTATATTGTTATCATTTTGACAATAAATTAACTGAACAACTTATAACGCCACATTATGGGATAAGAGATTTTATTTAGAGCTGTTACAGTAAAGGTAAGTGAATTTCAATTTCATTTATGTTTTTTTCAGACATAAAAAAATACTGAAAGTCTGGTTATGAACTTCTTCCGTTGGTTTATCTGAAAACAAAAACAAATAAAATGGTTTGTATTGACCTTGGTTTTATGGTGTTAAAGTGTCAAAAGATACAGTATATAGCAGAAAAAGGATCATTTCCTATGATTACAGCTTCACAGCCTAATAATCATGATCCTACAGGTAAGAAAAAATGTAAACATTAACGTGCAAAAAAAGGAACAGGTGGTGCCTGCCATCCATGAACTTCACGCATCGCTGACTATCAAAGAGGAGTAACTATGGAAAACATTGTTGACATGAAGGGCGCATACGTGGCACATATTCCAGTCACAGCCTGTTCACCTCGCACTGAATTGCAAGTGGAGTGAGCGCCGGCTTTCCACACAGAACATTGTGCAGGGGACACAGAGTGGCTGCAACTTCCAAGAGATGGAAAACCGTCTGCAGCAGCCCAACTCGCCACGTGTCTGCAGGGGCCAGCCAGCTGCCATCTGCCTCGAAGACAGGACTGGCACTCTCCCTCTGCAATAAAATTCAGCAGGGAGAACAAACAGCTGTTGAAGAAGTTCTCTTGCAAAATAACAAGGGGGAGTGTGTGCTTGGACGGCGCAGAGTTACAGTACATGAGAAGAAGATAGTAGGGATGAATGAGAGTAAAAAGCAATGTGTCTTCATAGGTAAATCTGTCAGCACCCTCTCAGGATGCTATGCTAACAGCCAGTTAATGGTTAAGGGTTGCAGTGCAATGGCAGTCCTGAGAAATGTTTGCATTTTTAGAATGCATGGCTTGAGCTCCATCTTTAAAACAAAGTATAAATCCTTAGATAGAATATTGCTGTAAAGGTGGAAATTGAGTCTCTTGATTTGACGGTCAACATGCATTTAGACACACCGTGCATCCTGACACAGAACCCCAAACACATGCACTTTCTCTACTGCTTGAATCTAAATTGAATTCTCTTATCTGGGCTCGCACCCTTGCTCTCATCACACACACCCTTCGGATACCAGACTCCAGGTGAATTTCAATGTCAAAGACACTAAGGTATTGCAGGAGCTGCAATCTGTTCATTCTGTCAACCGGGTTGCGTGTGTGTGTGTGTCATCGTGCACCGGTCCACAGAATGTGCGCTGATTGCTGGGGGTTAGGCCCATTCATCTGTCGGGTGTGATCATGGCTCTCTGTAACTGGGCCTAGGCGTGAGCGGGCTCTCTGTGATCTCCCCGATAAGAGTCATCCATCTGCTGTGTGTATCTGTCAGGACCCGAACAGCTCCTCTTATCAATGCACTCACCCGTTTCCCTCAATCAGTCCTGCTCCCATCTCTTTTCTCACTCTTGGCTGGTTTTCTCCTCTGTGCAGCTTCTTGATCCGGAGAATCACACTTTTAGGTGGACCAGCTGTAATAGAAAACCTGCCAATTTGTAAACTGTGCAAAGCCTCTTGGGAACACTAATGCATACATAAAAGAATGCAAGGCTTTCTATGAAGAAGACTTAAGCATGTGCATGTATGCAAACTTACACACACTCGCACAGAGATTGTTGGTATTCAGGGGCCCCAACTCGGCCTCTGAGATTATCTACAATAGATGAGACTCAAAGAGAAGCAGCAGTGTTTTTTTTTTTTTTTTTTTTGTCTTGCAGACTTTCCAGGAGAGAATACCCCCCTAATCATCAATCTTGCAGACGAAGAATTAGCTTTTGTGTGTTACGCTTCCATTTTTCATTCCAACTCAAAGGGTCTGAGACTTGGAAAAGCTACTGAGAACATGAAGCGACATGACAAGAAGATTTGTGTACAATACCAACAGGAGCTTAGATCAGGGGAGTGTAGTGCACACAGAGGAACCTATTCAGGATTTTGCCACCCTTCTCATAACAAAAAGCTTTACAAACAACCCCAACAGCAAAAAAAAACAACAACCTGAAGATAGCGTTGCTGCCCCAGCAATCTGTTCATTGTTTGTCACAATCAATACTGCAGGAACCAGACCCATGATTAATTTAAAGATATTGTGATCTTAGGTGAGCTGGATTAAACTGCTTGTAAGAACAGATAAACACTGTTTAAAATGGGCTCCCTTCATGGTGGGTGAACATGAGTTTCATCATCAGTATTAATAGTATACGCCTATCCCAGATTGCATACTCTGGGTGCTGCTGGGCCCACACCAGGACGGGTTTTTGCTAGGGTAATATTTATAGCTGTGCATTAAAAGTGGATTCAAGGGTTTAAGTGTACTATTGCAACAGAGCTGCTGCTCCTTTGTCAGGGCCTGTCCAAAAATGTCTTTCCTGGGGCTACTTGCAGCATTGCATTCAAGCTGACAGCTGGATCACACAATCGCTGTCATATCAAAGGAGGGGAATATTAAGGAGCAGCTGCAGGATTGTTCTTTTTTTCCTAAAAATTGTATGAGCTGCAGCCAAATCATTGCATGTTTTCTTTTTAGGCCTATCTGTATATCAGTGTTAGTCCCTTTGAATTACAGTCAGCTCCTCCTATTCACACACTACTTTATAACCTCAATAAATACTCATTAAAGAACCTTGTAATATGTCTATCAATTGATTTGAAGATAAACTCAACACTGCCACCTTGTGCTTGCTGTATGTAAAATCTAATGAGTTCAGCCTGACGGAACTTTCATTTCCTGTGGATTTTCTCACAATAATATGGATGCATTTTATTAGATTAGTTATGTGATAGACCAGCATAAATAGTGAATAACTTGTGAAGTAAAGGGAAAATAATTCAAGTTTTTGTTTTGTTTTTACAAACTGAAATCTGAAAAGTGTGGCCTGCAAACACAACTAGCCTTGTTTGACATCTATAAATTAACCAAATACCAATGGAAGCCTGTGATTTAGTATAAATACGTTGTCAACAAATAAAAAAAGCCATTAACAAAAGAAAGCCATTATTAAAAGAAGTCATGTTTGCAATTTGCCACAAACCATGTATTTCTACCTGTATGGCAAACAGGTGGAAAAGGGTACCCCTCTCATAAGATCAGTCTTTGTTCTGCATTCAAACTAAGATGTAGTACCACTAAGAAGACTCCATCTCCACAGTGGGCCATGGTGGAGACACATTTTTTTAAGCAGAAGTTACTGAGAAGATGGATCATTTTCATTATTGGGTTAATCTCTAAGGAAACCTGTTAAAAGCCACATAAGACTTGAGCAGGGGTGTCAAACTGGTTCCAGAAAGGGCCATGTAGCTGCAGGTTTTTCTTTCCGACCAAACAATAGCAGACCAGACTCCATTAATATCAAGTCATCATGTTCAGATTGGACTTCCTTGATTAGATGACTGGAGTCTGGTGTGCTATTGCTTGGTTGGAAAGAAAACCTGCAGCCACACGGCCCTTTCTGGAACCAGTTTAACACTCCTGGACTTGAGGGTCATTTCTTCAGCACGACAATAAACCCAAAACATACAGTCAGAGATACCATAATGAGGTTGAGATTAAAATTCAGCTGAAAATGTGTTACCATTAAACAGGTGTGATTCCATCCAGACTGACTGAGCTGGAGAAATTTTGCAAAGAAAAAACACAAAACAATTTCTGAATGTGCAAAGACGATTCTGCAAAGTATAATTTCTTCCGCTTCAAAGTTATGCAACAATACATTACTGTTGGCCATCAGTCCAAACACCAGAATTGTGGGCTACTCTATGTTCTGCTGGTGTAATATAAAAATAATGCCCATTAAAAGTGTTAAGATAAGTCAAATGTAAAACGCACAGAGAAGTCAAACAACTTTCTATTTATTAGGTCTTAGTCAAAAGGTAGACATTTATCAATAAAGCAAACAAGGTGACCAAAGAAAAACAAGTACAAATCATAAACTAAACATTTCTTAAAATATAAAATAAAATCACAGCAACACCTATAAATTTGTCGTTACATCTCTGAGAAAACAACCAAAAACAAAAATCCAGATTGCTTAAGAAAATCTATTCACGAAGTAAATCATAACATCTTATTAAAACAAAAAAAAAATATGGATGAAGTATTATTTACAAGTTCATTGCTAAGAAAAGCGAATACAAATGCTATTTTTTTTTTCCTTTACAGTGCACCCGATTACAAATTGCTGTGAATATGCAGTTTATGCAACAAATACACAGCAATAATCCTCTACACAGCAGTTTAAGTGCTATCAATATCCTTTTTTTTTTTGTTTGTTTTTTTACAATTTGTGCTAACAGGCATGCCATAACGCCAATATGTAAAAAAACAAAAAACAAAAAAACATAAACACCATTTTTTTTTTCTCCTTTTAGAAAAATGTAATTTTCAAAGACACAAACTTGGGATGTTTACGTCAGATAATTCAAATTGAATCAATCTAAAGAAAACTCAAAAAATCCTATGTATTGTTACAGAAATCTGGGAATCCACAAAAAGGTAGCTTGGATTAGGTCGGGATTATCGAACATTATATACTTAATGCAACTTGGAGGTTTGGATGTAACATAACAGGACAGGTGCAACAGAAAAGAAAAACACAAAGGCAGTCTATTAAAATATTTATAGACCCTATGTATACACACTACAGTAGAGTCCACATTTCTTCATATGCAACCAAAACTGAGAGTAAATGTTTTAAAATTAGCCAAGTTATTTCAACAAATCAACCACCGTGATCATCCCTGAGAAGACATTTTGGTTCCATACTCAGTGCATCTGAAATGTACGATCATGATATGAAATTGAACTCATGACATTTTTTCCACTTTGTCACGCGTCAGTTAAGAAAAACAAACAGCTTTTGCAAGATTAATTAATGCCTCTGAGGATTTCGGGATTACATAAAGAAGCTGTTTAATCTAACTTCATGTTAGATTATATTGTATAAACAGGTTTTCACCAAACACAAAGAGACTCTTTATGAACCTTTGGGAAATATTAAACCCAAAAATATATTCAGGTAAAAAGAGTGAGCATGTTGTTCGGTACATGATTGGCTAAAAAAAGGAGGGGGGGGGGGGACATGTCGCCTTGGCTTTACAGTTACAGTTTACCCTGATTTAAAAGCTTCCGTTTAGTTTAGGTAAACAAAAGCAAAGACTGATATTTTTGTGCACAAAAAAACTGACACCAGGAAGAACGATTCAATGCTCGTACTGCGTCTACTCTTTAGATTCCCAGTCTCTGGTCCCCATTCCGGCTTGAAATAAAACCAGTGAGAGCCGAAGTCGGTTCGATGGATTTTTAAATCATGGTCAACAGGACCTTTCCAGAGATCCTGTGGCCACTTCCTGATGACCCAGAGCTATTTTGGAGGCACAAAGACGACCTAAACGACACCAGCAATTGGTCTGAATTCATTTTTTGATGTGCATCTATTTATCTTCACTTTCTTAGGCCTCCTCCTCTTCCTCCTGATCACTGTCATCAGAGCCTGCAGGACAAAAATAACACTGCTTTAATCCCAAGAGATTGTTGCTCAAGTCCTGAACACACACAGATGTGGATTAGATGAAGAAAAGAAAAAGCAGAAAAAGACCAAAGTAAATGCTGTTGTATCCTGTCCTAGTTTAACTTTAAAAAAAAGATAATGTTGAATAATTGTTGTCTTACCATCAATCACTATTTCACCACTACCCTCCGCTTCTTCGTCCTCCTGGCTCTCATCTGAGGGAGACACATTGTGTTGTCCATTCAGTACATTAGAAGAACCTTTTCACATTTTGTCACATTACAAACATCAAATTATAACATTTCAGTGTCATTTTAGGTGACATGTCAAACAAAGTGGTGCTAAATTATCATTCAAAATTGATACACAATTTAAAACCCAGGGCTAAACCTTTATATAACCCGTATTGTTGCAGTGAAAGCTTTGAGTTAAAAGTAGCTTTAAACATTTTAAAAAACATTTTGCTGGAGAGCATCTGCAAATCCAATATTAAAGACTTACCACAGATGGGAAATATTTGGATTTAGCTTTTGTTTGTCCAAAATATTTGGATTGAGTTTTCTTTTGTTTGAATTAAAATCTTAAAGGTATAGTGGAGGATTTTCTTTTTGGAAAAAGAAATCAAAATAAGTGGTCCTCCTAATTATCAATCATTCTGGTGATATGTTTACATAAGGTCGTCCTATGTGTTCATTCCCATTTTCACTTACTGGTGTTGAGTCTGACATAGTGGAAAAATTTCAAATCTTGTTTTGGAAAGTAAGTTTGCATTAGCGTAGCAAACAGCAACTTTTAAACAGACCGTGCACGAGGAGAAATGGGCTCGTGCACGCTCTCGCACGTGTCTAATAGGCGGTCTCTCTCGGAAGCAGGTACAGGGTTGTGCATGTTCCTTTTTTTTTTTAGTGGAGGTGGTAGGTCTTTTCAAAAATTCAAGAAAAATTCTCCACAATACCTTAAATCATGAATATTCTTGCATTTAACATTAGCTCTGTCTGTATGCTAAAGTCCACCCACTTATCAAGTCTTTTCAACCTTCAAAGGATTGGTCCAGACCTTCCCTCTATTAAGCTTCATTCATCGTCATGTGACCTCTAACCAGTTACTCCACACTTAAAATTTCCATTTGCACAAAAAAAAACCTTGTGCAATGTTTTAAGCACAACTCAGGATTAGAGCTGGGCGATATGGCGATATATATCGTGAGGACGAGAGAAACATGTTTATCGTGACCTTTCTCCTCTACTTTTTCTATCGTGATAAACTTTTTTATTATTATTATTACTGCTAATATACATTTTAATATAATTTGTTAATATTACATTTTGCGTTTTTGCTATGCAAACTCTAAGTGTATATAACGAAAAAAAAGAGAATAAAAAGATAATGTGTAGAGAACGTGGTTTTGCGACGCTACACCACTTTACGTCACGCGGCTTTGCACCATACGTTTGCGACATTACTGACGGAGAGGGCCCGCGAAATTTCTTTCTGGCTTGAAAAAAAATGAATGATGGACACCCAAGAAGATGTTACCACAGCAGCGGTTACAGAGTCCGAAACGGTTGCCAGGTCACAGACACAACAAACACCACTTTTGCCCAAAAGGGGAGGCAGCTTGGTTGTTTGGTTATATTTCGGATTTCAGCCATCTGATAAAGAACAAACGCAGCCGATATGTAAACTGTGCAGCAAAGCCGTTCCAGCGGCTGATGCAAATACTTTCGGCCTCTTTTACCACCTGAAGAAAAATCATGAACAAGAACACGGGAAACTACAACCACTCCGATCAAAACAAACAAGGGATGAAAATACAGGAAGCACTGGAAAGAAATTCTCACAGCCGAAGCTTAAGGAAGCATTCGCCCAAGGATCACAATATGAGAAGACGTCTCAGCGACACAAGCAGATCACAGGTGCTATTTCACGCTATATCTATAAAGGCATGGCCCCCGTTTACATAGTCGAGAAAGACAGCTTTCGGGACCTCGTCCGTACACTCGATCCCAGATATGTGATGCCTAGTCGAAAACATTTCAGTAAAGTGGAGCTGCCTGGCTTATATGCTAGTTGTCGGGCTGAAGTGGAGAGAGAGGTACGCAGTGGTGCGACACATTATGCGTTGACTACGGACATGTGGATGAGTAGAGCAACACAGCCTTATATGAGTCTCACCATCCATTTCATCAAGGACTGGACCCTCCTAGTGGAAAACAAGGTAAGTGAAAGACAAGAGAAAAACCTGGCCTTAGAATTTTATAAAATGTCAACAACAAACGAATATTAAATGATTAATTACTGCAGCGCAATAGCCAAGATTCTATACTGTTCACTGTCATGGCCGCAAATTGCATAACTGGTGTTCTTGGTTTGGGGTTGGGATTCTCATATTAGGAAACAAGATGATGGGTAAAAAATAGGCGATGAAAGATTTTTTTCAACCCTGTCCATCTGACGGACTATGAAAACATAAAATGCAACATCAGTTGTGGTATATCGTGATATATATCGTTATCGTGATATAAAATAATCCATATCGTGATATAGTTTTTTTTCCATATCGCCCAGCCCTACTCAGGATGTATAAAAGTAATGATGAAATGAGAGGGCTGACACAAACTTTTCCAATCGACTATAACAGACTACAAGGCATTAAAACTCACCTGAATACACTTAAATTAATGCTTTTAATTCAACAGGAATCAAAGCCAATGTTGTTCATTAATTGAAGCGTTTATGGTTTATACAGGAATAATGAAACTAAAACAAATGTATCCTCATAGTCACAGAATGCAAATTAGGAAAAAAAATGAGGAAGGCAACTTCAACTGGTACAACTTTAAATTTTCCTGTTTCTCACATTTAGACCTTCCCTCAGGACATCTCGGCACTGATTTATTTTAGTTTTAAATTGTCTGGGGTGGGATAATGTTTTCACATTAAAGTTACACTTTAATACTTTTCTAATCTCTTTTTTTTATGGTCATAATTTAGCTCCCTGTCACTTAGCCACCTTCAGCCGCTACATTTTTACAATTGAATCATCTTGTGCTGCAGGATTGTTTTTATTCTGTGCATACAGATGGTTTGTAAATGAACCTACATTCTCATCCATGTTCGATGTTTTCCCCTGTAGGAATTGTTAAGTGGAGCTATGATGCCTTTTCTGCAATAAATCAGTAGTTATCGTCCCACAAAATGTCCTCAGTTAAATGACAAAATCCTCCAAAGGAACAATCACAATATTTTAAGAGAGGAACACAAAAAGCTAACATTAATAAAAAGTTTGGCTGTAAAATAGTTTGGTCAACATGGCCCATCAGCTGTAGCATTGGACTAACATTATTTAATCAATTCCATCAGATGAAAAAGAGAATGCAAACTGTAGTGTGAAGTGTTTTAGCATCACAAATGCTTGCGCTGAGACATATCTGCACACTAAAAACATGATGCAAATGGCTTTTATGTATTAATATATTGTTACCCTCTCGAAACCCAAATTTGGTGTGTATTTAGCCTTTCTCTAAGGTACATTGGATTAATAGTACCTATCCAGTTTAATGACTGGACCCCGTCGTGATACAAGACATTTCTAATGTCCTTGTATGAGGAAATTTGAAAGAAACAATAAAGAGATGTTGATTTGAAAAAAACGTTTATTTCAGACTGCCAACATCAGGACATAATCTGGAATACCCTACTGACCTCTGAGAAAGTGTTTAAGTGCAGACAGGTGTGTCCCTTAGGCTGTAAACAAGGATTTTCAAACGTCTTAGTTTAAGAAAAGAAACAGAAAAATGTCTGACCTTAGTAAACAATTATATTGGCCTTTGGGAAATGCTGCAAAGCGGTTGTGTTCACTCTGCAAGCAGAGAAACACTGCATTTAGTGCACTGCACACATGACTTCCCCGTGCAGTCCTGCCCTCTGCAACACATTGAGTTCTTCAGGTTGGCCATCTCTGGGAGATGAGCAGGAGAACATGTCCAGACAGAGAGATGTGGGATGGAGGTGACCTGTGACCCTTTCATCGCCTGCGGAGGCTGTGTGTATCTTTGTTCAGAACGTCCCGTTTGTTGAGGAATACCTGAGCCACTACCATACAAAACTCAAGAAATGTATTGATAGCCTTTCTGGGGAAACCGTTTTCCTGGTTGTCTTGGCAAAAGCAAGATCAGTGAAGTACTTCAGGAAGTGAATTGTCCACTTCTTAGTTCGCACACTGGTTCAGCAGTAGCATATCATTCTGTCTGAAAGGTCAACCCCACTCATCCAAGGGCTGTACTCCTGCATTCCACCTGACCTTCCAAAGCTCTCATTTCTTTATTCTTTTTTTGACCATTGCTGGCAGGTGTCTTTATGCTGTTCAGCTTGAGCAACAGGGAGGATAACAATCAGCTTATTATCATACCAGATGACACAAAGTTCCCCCATCTGCCTTTGCAACTGTTGCTGAAGCACGTCCACTTTGGAAACTTGACAGCTTCTTGGTTGCCTCAGAGACACACTTCTTCATACCTGGATCAGTCAGGTTCACCTTCTTCTTTAGCGTACGATAGATAGCTGGTATGCTTATGAAGAACTGCTCTTACAGCACTTAAGTACCAGCAGGTAGTTTTATACAGACGTTTAAGAACCATGGCTCATAAGGTCAGTCCCTCAGAGTCCAAAACTTGAGAGGTTAGCATCTTTGCACCTTGATAGACTTTAAAGTGCAGCAGAATTCCATGCATCGAAGCCAAAACAAAGTTCTTTATGCCGATTGTATTGGGCTTTAGTGGCAGATACTGCCGTAACTGGCGGGCTCCAGTAAACGGGATTGTCTGCTCATCTATCGACACACATTCTGGTGGAGTTTGAAGATGGCAGTCAATGACTATGTGAGTAATGAAAGGTCTCGCTTTCCTAAACGTGATTGTTTTCCTCTCAGCTTTGGGAACATCATTATCAAAGTCCACTTTCAGGTTGCTCCTGAGTTTCAAGAATCCATCACGTAACATTACATCACCAATGGCAGGGATTTGCAGGATGTTTCTGGGTAACGCAGGTTAGAAATCAAGATTGCATCCCCAGAAAAGTGAGAAATCTCATCAACAGAAGTGTCAAGAGATCTCCCACTCTCAGCAAATGACACAGCATTTGTGCAACAAGCAGCTTCATCAGCTCAGGTCGAAATACTGCGCCATATAATCCTGCGACAGCCAAGCTGCACGCTCATGTTTCAGGACATCATCTTCACCTTGAAACTGGATTTATTTAGGGGTGAAAAGAGCAGACTTCTTCCAATCCCACGTCCAGTCTTTAGGGGTCCCTTCCTGGGCTCTCCAATTCCTTCCTCATCCAATTCTAATGATAAAAACATAATATATCTAATGTGTAATGTGCAAAAAAAGTTTGGGGTCTCGCTCACCACGATTCCTTTTCTTTCTACTTGTGACTGTTGTGGCTTACTCCTATTCTCGCTGTCACCACCTTCACTGCTGTAGAGTTTAGCTTCTGCTGCATCAGGTTGTGAATAATGATACTAATCATCTGCAGGTGTACTTGGTAGAAAATAATCATCGGGTTGTTTTTGATTCACAGGCAAGAGATAGAAATCAGGGATGTATTCCTCCTCCAAAGGATCAGTCTGTTACTCATCTGACAAATCTTCAAACTCGGAGTTGTTTACATTTGCCATGAGCAGTCACTCTGTTTTGGACATACCTGTAGCCAGGTATCTTGCGGATTATTAATTTGTTTAACAAATCTACCGGTCGCAAGAAAGTTTTAATCTTAGAAACTGTTCTGAAAAATGCTCTAGGTGTGTCCAACTGTAGGATAATGAATATATAGTCCCCATGTCCCATAGGTCCTATATGTGGACTTCATCTTTGTTTAACTCCTACTTTGCTAGAGTAAAAATAAGTAAAATATGCTGGTGTTGTATAGCTAAAGATGCAGCTATGCACACAAGCACACTTTTTACTTGGATCCCTGGCATCTTGTCTTCACAGAAATAAGTTTAATGTTCTCAAGGCACTATTACATGGTGCTGGTATAGACTATTCACCTTCATTGAAAATGTGCATAATGAAATTTATCCTGTGCATCTAACCCATCCCTTCAGTACCTAAGGGAGCAATGTAGGATTAAAGGTCAGGGTGACATTCTGAGGTTTGAACAGCTGATCTTGCGATTTCTCCATATAAATGCTTTGCTCTTCGACCACTAGGCCACCAGTCCCTACAACTGAAGGTTTCTAATGAGGCCGATTGGTCAGGAGATTGGACTGTCCTAATATGAGGATGCAAGGATGTGTTAAGCATTCAAATATTGACAAGAAAAACTGTTGCTATGTGGGCATATTCTGTACACAGGTAAAACTAATTAAAGAAAAAGCATAAACTCTAAAAAGTTTTTAAGTTCCTTTTTACAGTTTAGTTATCGCTGTGAGCAAGTAGTAATGAAAAAAAAGATTTTTTTTTTTCTTTTGCATTTTTTCATGCTGCTTGATCTGATAACTGTGGGTCATTCTGATCCAACAACGTTATATTTAGTTATAAAATGGTTGCATAGTCCTTTCTGGCTGACTGACAAAAACATACAGAGGAAAAGTTTAAATAATAGAAAACTTTGCAAAGTTTGCAATAGCCAAACACCAAAACAAAAAGCAAGTCCAGAACACATTTAAGCAAAATTCCAATTAATAAAGACCAAGTAAAGGTTTATCTTATCATCATAAACTACTCAATACAGAATTAACCAGAAAATAAAATCTTTGGGTGCTCTCCTGATGGGTGCCATCTATGCCAGGCCTTTTGATAGGTGCGCAGAAGCGGCATCATTTTTCTACTTCAATATATTGTGTTAAACACAACTCTGGTGCTTCACTATAACTACACCGCTAGCAACTCTAGCCTGGCTACTTCGTTTTTCGTGACGTTCTTCGTTTGTTAGGGTTCTCCTACAAAACTCTGATGTTCCATGGAGCAGCTTGTTTATTCAGAGACAAAATCACTAACAAATGGACCTTTGATTGTTTTGAAAGAAATGGGTGGACATAGGTGCATTTTTGGGTAGTAGATTAAAGGAGAGACAATGTCTGATCAACTTTATAGATTCTTATTTGTAAATAAACTTTAAAACCTTTCCTGCCTTCCAGTTCAAAGCCATTTGTTTCTTTGGTCAATTACATTAAATCTAGAGCTGCAAATAACGATTATTTTGCAAAACGATTAATCTGGCGATTATTTTTTCGATTATCAATCGGATAGCCAAAGGTTCCTTAAAGAAGATTTTTAACTAAATTAAACCAGGTGAGAATAAAACTTTTCCACTTGAGGAATTCTGAATAGAGTATAATGAGAGGCAAAAACATAAATTTTTTCTTAATTGCGAAATGTTCATATATTTTTGTTGTTTTTATATAACTAGAGCTCTAAGTGGGTTGCTTTGTCAGCTAAAAGCATATTTTACAGTCTCAATACTTCAGTTAACGATTAATACATTTCTAAATTAGTTGACAATTATTTCAACATCGATTAATCACAATTAATTAATTGTGATTAGTCCAAATAAATCCCAATGGAACAGACATTTTGTTTCAATATCACAAAATTATGAAAAGTTCAGGTTAAATTATTAAATGATTCAATTGTTGTGTAAATTATTCCAATTATAACACAGTATAATAAAAACTGTTTCACAAGTTAAATATGAATTAAAGCAAAAAGCTAGCTAACAGCATCCTAAAGGAAAGGGGGAAAAGGAAATAACCAGTAATTCAATGGTTCTAGTTTCTAACAGCTGTATTTTGCACTAACCTGGACTCCTTTGCCTGCCGCCATCATCGTCTTCTTCCTCCTCCTCCTCCTCCTCTTCTTCTTCTCCTGCACCTTCTTCTTCATCTTCCTCCTCCTCCCTGCTGTGGCCTTGTTCAGTGTCACCACCATCTTCACCCGGCTCATCATCAGAGTCAGAAATAACAACACAATCATCTCCATTCCCGTTTCCAGCTGCTCTGGCCTCATTCGCATTACTAGAGAAAGAAGACGCCATGTAAGCAGTTGTTACTTGATACAGCAGATCATAAGAATGAAGCAATATCTTGCTACAATTATTTAAAGACAATGACATCTTGCATTTTAATAAGGAGTTAATTGAAGCCAAAGGGCCAGTCTGTTTTACCTGCCGTTCTCCCTCGGTTCCCAGAGAGGAGTGAGGTAGTATCTCAGTGGATCTCTGTAGAGGTCGTCCTTAAGTATCTAAACAGCAGCACAAAACATCCTGTTAATACAGCAAGCAGGCTGAGGTGGATGATATACTATGAAGGCACTATAGATGGACCAAGCATGTTTCAGTTATGAGCAGACAAGTCCCCAATCTCCATCTAATTGCACTTGGAAAGAATTGACCAAAACATTTATTCTAGAAGACAATTTAATTCATCATCACTGCATTTAAATCCACATAACAGCAAAAAGAGTATAAATGTTTAATGTACATGCCCAAATATTAGCTTGCATGTACAACCGAGAGGGCTGCCACTAAATAAAAGTATCATCATAGAAGTAAAACAAACAAACAAACAAACATAGATGGTAATACCTATGAACTAGAACCATATAAATTAGTCAGATACAAGTGGGCTCAACTGAATTTGAACATGACCAAACTTAACATATGTTCAGCTTATTTGTATTTTATTGTAAAGATGAAAAAAATGACTTTTTTCTCATTTTTACGTTTTTCAAATTGAAAAATCTTTATCCAATTTCAGTAACTGTTATGCCAAGGGGCTTTTAAACACATGTATTAAAGAACTGGTTTTACAGATGATGATGATGACAAGTTACTATATTTACCATTGTATAAATATTTTAATAATACATGAATCTATCACATCTACCAAAGGACTTTTTATTTTACCACAACTTCATGTTTCGCTCTATCATTATCAGGAATAAACATTAATTGTTGATTGCTTTATGGCAGCCTACCCGCTGTTACTGTAGTTTGAAGGAGATATCCAATTAACTTGATCATATTCAATACCACCACTCAAAGAGAAGGGCCTCTTGTTTGGTTTGGAACTCCAAAAATATGGCTGTTAAGTTAACTGAGCCTTGTATATTCCTCTTAGTTATGAGTGTCTACCGCATGGTTATTGGTTCATCAATGGTCCAATAATAACTACAATGGATAATGATACCCGGGTTGATAAAAGTGACAAAAATTACACTCAAAGTTATGGAAGCAGCATCTGGCTACAGACAGTCAACTATTTTGGATGCATCAGGTTTGTGCATGCTAGTGATCTTTACCTGTGCTACATCATCCTGTGCTGGGTTGCTGTGGTCACTGAACCAGCTGAAAAACGTCTCATAAACACCACGACACGACTTCCTGGGCTCGCTGTTGGCAGTCAGGTTGTGTCCACGATGCCAAAGAATGGGGTTGGAGAATGACATGGGCGATCCTAAAAGCATCAGCACACAGCAAACACAGGTTTTAAGGATTCGTCAAATTCAACAAAACGGTGGAATAGTCAGATACAGGAAAAAGAAGAGGTCATCCTAATTTATTTTCAATCATAACAAAAATAAGTTATGTTCGTCAAAAAGATTACATTATAGTTCAGTTTACAATAGAAATGCAACTACCTCCCATGCCAAGGTGCAATTCCTTCATAATGATGTTATTCTGGAAATATGGGTTCCTTCGAAAGTGGAAGCGAATCCTGTAGCCAAGTTTGGTATTTTTGAAAGATTCAACCTGGGGGAAAACACCAGAGAAAGCTTAAATCTGACTGTTTTGCATTTATGCTAAAAAAAGAAGAAAAAAAATGGAACCTACCTCAAGATCGGTCATGTAGCTAAGAGCATCTTCATCAGTCTCATCTATATGAGCTGAGAGATGGGGATGGTTCAAAAGCTGGAGTGTTAATGTTAAGATCATAACAATAATAAAAATAAATTCCACCAATTCAACTTTGTTGTTCTTTTAAGGATACAGCTGTCACCCAAAACCCGGGGATGGCTTTTGTGATGGAACTTCTCTGATCAAGATGCGGGCGTCTCTGGCGATTAATCTTCAGCTCCAACCGTTGATGGAGCCTGGCGCTTTTCTTTTCTAGGGCTTCAAGTCTCATCTGCACTTGTGCCAGCAGAGCAACAGACTGTCTCATCTCAGGGGCCATTTTGACCGACACAATTGCACACTCCCCATCATCATTGTCATCGTTGTCGGATGGGAAAGAGGAGCTTGGTGTGGAAGATGATCCTGATATGGACTCATCCCCTTCAGGAGCATCGTTTTTCTCGGTACTGCGTGCTGATGTGGAGCTGTCTGCTGCTGCCTGTGTTTTTGAGGCCACCTTTGAAGGCTGCTGACCTGTTCGCTGTTTGTTTTTACTACCATGCTTCACTTGTTTGATTTTAGCAGATGAACACGGAGCGTCTTGACTCTCTTCTCCATCTCCTCCAGTGAGGCTGGCCAGTGCTTCAGCTGCTGCTATGGCTGCAGAGTCAGACTGCTCTACAGGAGTTGAGGGATGCTTCTGTGCTTCAGTCGCTTTCTGTGGTTCTCCCTTAGGATCAGTGGCTGCAGAGGGCTCTGAGGACTGTGGTTTTTCAGGGCTGGAGCTGTTGACATCTTTACGGTCTGGAGCTGGATCGGGCTGCAAAGCAGTTCCTTCAGAAGTACTGTCTGTTGACTCTCTCTGGGCCTCTTCTAGACTTTCAACTTCACTGTTTTTGCAACTTTTTAATGTTTGTCCAGTTTCATTTATGTCATCACTTACTTTAACAGACTTTTGAGGAATCGCACTATCTTCATCCTTGCCTGTTGATGAGGTCCGCTTCCTCGGTCTCCGATCCTCGGGCTGTTTGCAGTCCGTCACTTCACTCATGTTAGCAAGATAGCGAAAGAGCTAAGTGGCTAAGAGGCCCACGGGCTCTTCAAACTGACTGCAGTTGTTTGCACAATTTATGCCGCAGCTTCTGCAATAAGCGCAACGTTAGAGGGTATGCGGGAGCGTTTAAACTACATTCTAGGCAACAACAGATCAGGAACAACTCTCGTAACTCTCCGCGGCCTCGCGCGGAACGTTAATATGCAAAGCTAAAGCTAACTTAGTTAGCTTATGTTAGCCAGTTATGCTTCCTTACCGAACGACAACACTGCATTTCCACTACTAAATTACCCGGAACAAATACTTGATCTAATCATTCAAACCCACAAACGTAAAGCAGCCTTCAAACAATAAGCGCGATCTCTGGGTAAATTTGTATATCGGGTTATCCGTTAGCTTGCTATCCGTGAAGCGACGCCAAAGAAAAACAATCCGCTGATTGGCTGCGCCACGCCGCGCTAAAAAACCTCAGCCAATCATCTGCAAGGGTGTGTTTACATGGCGTGCTGTGGTGGAGTTAACTGCGCAAAAAGGACACAGCGTCCAAATACTGAAAATCAGTTTAGAGCCTTATTACACAATAAAATTGTGACAGAATTTAGGTCAGATTGTTATTTTTGTATTAAATAGCTGGACTGATAAGATGACGTCACACTATATAATTAAATCAATTTCGTTTTTCTTTTATCTTCAGGTTAATCTCAAAGCACTGCAAGAGAAACATATCAAAATGTTTCCCCACATACAAAATCCAAATCATCACATATTTTATTTTAATGCTTAGCTACTTTATTGTTCTGTGCAGAAAGGCGAATCTGTCGGACAAATCAAATTGCATCTAACACAGTAATAACGTGTGATAATAACTAGTTGAGTATGGGGGACCAATCCTGCCATAGTTAAAATAAATACAGAAATAAATATATGCTCAATAAATAAATAAGGATACAATTAATTGCCCCCCAAAATACAATAAACAAATAAATGTAGGTAGAAATTAAATTATACAGTGAAACATAAATGTATATATCTCTTTTAATAAGCTTCTTTATTTATTCGCCTTTGTTATAATTACCTTACTTATTTATTGTCCATTATAATAGTCATTTATTACTTATTCTTTAAGTATTTATTCATATGCATGTGATAATATTTTTGTCTGTAATATTCTTTCTTTGTATTTTTTTTACCCTATTTATTTCTTCAACACTATTTATTTCTGCCTGTCGTATTTATATGTCTGTATGCATTTCTGCCGCATTAAATGAGGAAGGGGTGTGTCTTTAGGGCTTAACTTCTTCTAACTCACAGAGCTCAGAGTATTAAGTTAAAAGTTCTCTTTTCTGTTACTGTTGTTCAATTAAAGTAAGTTTTTAGATAGTTTTGAGGCGAGCATATATATTATGGAAGAGGATTAGGGCCACTGAAAAACCGATTGTAAAATTTCATTTCAGTTTATTATGGGAAAAAAGTCAGACTTTAATCTCAGAATTCTCACAGAATTCTGACAGCTAACAAACATGTTAGCATCAAGCCGTAGCCATGTCTGTTTTAGAGACTAAACTAGCTCTCTTGTTTTAATCACCTTCTGCTCTTCCATTAATGAAATAGCATCACCGGGGACCCCTAAGGCATGTAAAAAGTCACCTAATTCCCTCATTTTCCACCAATGTGTCACTGGCCCTCTCAAAGTGCTCCCACATCTCTTATATATATATATATATATATATATATATATATATATATATATATATATATATATATATATATATATATATATATATATATATATATATATATATATATATATATATATATATATATATATATAAGAGCACGCACACACACACATTTGTTTTACTGGGTAACTGCAGTTGTTTGTGTTCGCACTGTCTCCAGCAGGGGGCGATAAGCCAGCCCTGATCGAGCAGAAGCGGGTGGGGGGGAATATTGGTTAAAAAACTCACACACACATATTTAGGTCACACCAAAAGGACCAGCACTAATAGTAGAGGCTACTGCTTTCAGAAGAGCTGCCAAGCAGCGCGGCATAAAGTCATCTTAACCAGGGGATAGTCTGTCACAGGCGCTGGCAGGGAAAGCTCCTTTTTCCATGTCGCTGTTGCCACATATTGACAGCGCTGAGCAGCTTCTCCGTAGTAACACAGGGACACCGCTGGATCCAAACACAGCACTGCTCCGCAGACCATGAGTATTTACAAGTACTTATTCTGAGGACGCCATATGCACTCTTGCACACATCTGTAAATATGTCTTTTTTAACTATCCCAAGCCAGGAGGGCCTCTTTAAAACGATTAAAAGCAGCAAGTCAACCGGGGAGGCAGAGGGTCGCTCACGCTCGGACTGCGATGAGGAAAACGATGACGAAGAGGACGAGGATGATGATGAGGATGATGACAGCGAGCGTGTCCGCCTCATCCCCAGGTGTTCCCCGGTGCCCAGGAAGCGAGGCGCGTCCATCTTCGACGAGACAGCCGAGTACATGCGGATCCACCGCGCGCTCTCCGCGGGGAAGAGGGTGTCGTTCGCCGATACAACAGGTGGAGATCTGGTGTATGTGCGCGAGTTCTTAGCCTTCGACTCGGACGAGGAGGACAGCGCAAAGTGGGAGGAGGAGGAGGCGAAATACCGCAAAGCGGAGCGGCAGCCGACCTACAGGATCCACCCGGAGTTTAGCGCTCCAGACAGCGGCGAGCTGCTGCGGATTGTGCGCTCCAACAAAGTGGAGGTGGAGCAGATCTCTCCGGTGGAGGATGAGCCGCTAGCGTTCAGTGGAGTGATCAGAGTTCTGAACATCTCCTTCCACAAAGCGGTGTACATCAGATCCACCATGGACAGTTGGGCCTCCTACTTTGACCACCCTGCAGAGTATGTGCTTGGATCAAACGATGGAGACACTGATCGGTTCTCCTTCAAGCTCTCCTTTGCGCCTCCTTACACCACGCACGGCTCTCGGATTCAGTTTGTGGTGCGCTATGAAACTTCTGATGGTGATTTCTGGGCCAATAACTCCTCTCTGAATTATGCTGTGACCCTGCTTTTGTCCTATGAAGATGATTCAGCCCAACCTGGCACTGAAATGGCACAAAAAAGGAGCATCTTGAAGACCCGCAGAGTCTGCAGGTAGCTGCTTTATGTGAGGCAGAAACTTCTTGTCAGACTTGTTTGGACTAGAAGTCATAAAGAATAATTTGATATAAGGTCTTCTATGAGAAAATCACATTAAATACAGATTTGCTCAAATCTAGGGCGAAGGCAAGTTTAATTTGCTATGATCAAATTCAACAACCAATGAATATGAATATTATAATACTTTTATAAAGTAAACAGAAATTTACATTTGAAACAATTTGAAATCTTTTTCATTTTAGCAATACTAAAACTATTGAATGAAACCTAATCCAGTTGACATTTGCAATAAACTATGAATATTCTATATATTTACGCTTTGGTAATATTAAAGCATATAGGGAGTGCAAGATGAATTTGATCAACTCTGCCAATTATAAATTGATAAACTGAGAGTTTGCTGTTGGTCAGACTTAAATCAGCCAAAGAGTGGTAATTTTTTTTAATCATTGATGCTTATGGGGTCAAAAAATATTAGAAAATATTTCTTTAGGAATGCAAAAGTACTCATACCCATCACTCTTTCTGCATTTTATTAATGACAATCAATGTTTTCAATATTATGCATTGCGATTTTCTGTTATACCAACATATAGTAGTGCATAATCCTCCAGTTGAGGGATATTTTGTTCCCTCAGCCGATAGTGAATTACACCAGCATGTATTTTAAATTATACTTCTGCCAGCTTTATACATTTAGAGGTCTGAACACATTTGCCCAAGTTTTCATAGTTAAATAGTTCAAACTCTGTCAGAATGGATGAAAATAATCTATGAACAGCAATCTGCTCTGCTCCTTGGTCTTCATCATGTTTATTGTTCACTAAGGTTTTCTCGCTGACCTTTGAGGCCCGTTTCTATTCTAAGAAACACAATCATGATCTCTGTTTACCAATGAGGTGAACGCTGTAGATAGATCTTTGGTTTGGATTTTACTAATCAGAATCAGAAGTAGGTGATTGCTAAACCATAATGCATTCTATTTTCCTTCAACTTCCCAACTATGTGCTTATCTGTGTTGGTTAGTTTTATGAAATCCTGGAAATATTCAAGTGAAAAGTAGAATATACATATTAGCTCTCAGATATAGCGATCCCCACAACAGAGACACAGAGGCAGGAACAACAGAGCGATATCTGCTTACTAACACACTTTGAGTCTAAAACAAGCAATCCCTTTATCCGTGGTTTTCCCTAGAAATGCCGCGCTGCCATAGGGGAACCTACATGTGAACCAGAACTGTGACATGTAAAGGTTTCAAGCTCCCTGTTTCTTTCGAAAATGTATTCCTGTCTTTTTCCACTTGCCCAGAAAGCAGTGCTTAGAAAGCTTACACCCCGCGTCGAATGCCAGCAGCCCCCGTAGTGTGTGACGCGATCAAAATAGGAAAAGGACAGGTGTCGTTTTCAGTCTTGGCGTTTCCCCTGGCACTAAAACCTAACTCTGACCTTTTCTGTCACAGGGGAGTGGGGCAAGTTCAAAGGAGCAGACTAGCCCTGTCCCAAATGTAATTAAGAGGCTGCTGCACAGATCGCTTTGCTTCCCTCTGCAGTCCAGTAAAGTGAGATAATCCTCATATTTATTATAACGTCAACATGAAAGGTGGTAATAGATCTTGCTGTAGTAAAGGTCCCCAAAGCTTGTGAGGGGCGTATAAAAAGAATCAAACAACTCATAAACTGATGCTGCTGCTGGGACATAGGCATGAGCCTGTTTATTAAGGTAATTAATGACTGAATACATATATGGTGGTGATATAAATCAGTTTCACACACACCTGCCCTCCTGGCAAGAACAAACTATTTTTTTCCTGCCATGTCATGTTCAGGGTCAAAGAATAGACTAGTCATATGTCTTGGAGTTTTTACTCAAGGATATTTGTTACTTGAAGTGTAACCTTTAAAATATTAACCAACGATCTAAAATGCATATGCAAATCTTTCAGAAGTCAGCAGTCTTAAATAAGGAGTTTTATTTCATAATTACACGAGTTTAAACTGAATTGAGTCAAGTTCTTACTAAAAAAGTACAAGAAATTAGCCATTGTTTTTTTAAATCAGACAAGGCAGAAAATGTAATAAAAATACAAGGAATATAAACAGTTTCTGGAGTTCTTATCACATGTTTGTCACAAATCTTGGGCTTTTAGCACATTTTGTTGGAGCTCCTGGCAATGTTGTGGTCTCCCCTACCTTTCTTTTGAAAGATGTGTAAAGAACTTTCCTATTAAGCTTCTCATTTGACATTTACTCTCAGCCTTAGTCAGGTACTTTTCACTCTGGAATTTTCCACCTCAACATCTTTCACTGATAGTCTGATGACTAAAGTCCCTGACCTTTACACAACATGTCACTATGGATGAAGAATATTTGGAGAAATTTTATTGCACAGTCAGTCAGATTGTTAAAGCATGTTCAATGCCTTAAATGACCATTGGCATACAGCCGGCTTAGGTACAAAGGAGTTTAAGGAGACCAAAATCAGTATTTAGGGACCAGTTTAACACGAAAAGGGATGGTTTTTTTTACTTAAAATAACCAGCAACTAAACATTATAAAATAAAAAAAATGTATTTGTGGTGTATTTTATCATGTGCAGACAGCAGAGATGGGAAGTTACTGTACTCAAGTAGATTTTTCTGATATTTTTACTTTACTTTACTACTTATTTTTATGGCGACTTTTTACTTCTACTCCTTACATTTTTACACAAATATCTGTACTTTCTACTCCTTACATTTTAAAAAATTGGCTCGTTACTTTAGTTTTGAATCATTTCAATGGAGTTACCGTTATTATTTTTCACGTCATCAATACCAAATTCAATCTAATTGCATGGGAATCTACGTTGCATTTGACGCACCACTACAAGATGAATCGACAGATTCAGCGGTATTCATTTGCGGCAAATCATTGCAGCTTGGTGGCGGTGGCGTTAGCATAGTAGTATGGACGACGAGATTATTGAAAATGAACACAACGGAGATCTAGTCCTATTGGCAGACATCCATTTAAAATGTAGGCAACGGCATGAAAAAAGTGGTTTCTACTTTTACTTTTATACTTTAAGTATATTTACAAGCCTGTACTTTGTTACTTTTACTTGAGTAAAGAAGTTTAATCAGTACTTCCACTTTTACCAGAGTATTTTTTTAACACAAGTATCTGTACTTTTACCCAAGTACAGAAAGTGAGTACTTTTGCCATCTCTGGCAGACAGTCAGCCAGGACGTTCCTCAGAAATTATTTTCTATTGTCAGAATTAGTGGGTACTTGTTGAAGACCCAAATGCAGAGCTGAAGAGGCAGAGCTGATTTATTGTGTAATTTAATGAAGAAGTAAAAATACAGAAGCGATAAGCCAGAACTGATCAACAATAAACTCAAGTACCAAAAACTAGGAGACATTAGGAAGGAATAAACCAAAGGAATGGAAGAATGAGATAAGGAAGATAATCTAGCCAACACTAACTGCAGAGGAGGAGTATATATACTAAACAGAACAATGCATGGAGAAATTAGCTGATTGGGTGCAGGTGTGAATAGAAGGACCTAGAAGGGAGCAAGTGGGGAAGGAGACTGGCACAAGGGGGAAACAGAGAGTGAAAAAGAAATACATAGGTGCTCAAATACAATCAAAACACAACTATGACATAAATTAAAGGGTAACTGAAAACTCAAAAATAAAATTTGAACAGAACCAAAAAGTCCAGAAAGGTCAGCTGCAGGGAAATATGCAATATTTCATAAAAGTTTTTACTATTGTAATATTGCACTGATTTCCCAGAAAGTTTTTTTTTTTTTTTTTTTTTTTTTGGGGGGGGGTTCTTGGAAAACATAAATGCCAAATAGTAAGTAGTATACAAAGAACGATTCCATATAACCACTTAAGTTTATTTTATAAGGTTGAATCTAGAGAAGCTTTTTGTGTTGGCATTGAACAGCCAAAAACAACAACTGTTTGCATGTGCTGGTTGCATATGATAAAGATGTGTCTGGAATAGATCAGGTTATATCGAAATTTTGTCAATGATGATAAATTCACCATTTAATTTGAAGCCCATGTGTGCTGTGAGGAAATTTACGTTTTATAGCACTAAATAAAAGAATAATATATATCACAAAGAAGTCACTTACAGTTAAATTTGTTTGCAATTGTCATAAATCTTAAATCTCCATTATATATCAAAATGCCAAGGTGCAAAGAAAGATACATTGCCACACGATAATTCAAGTATGTGGCCATAAAAAATGATTTTGTTTCAAGTATTATATGGAGGTAGGAAAAAGCAAAAAAAAACAATTAGGCAGAGATTTAAGGTGACTTATGTACGTTTAAGGTGATTTATACACATTGAATTTGGCGTTGTCTGCATAGTTTGGCGAACATTTGTGAATTACAGTTATCGTTTACTACATTAGTATCTTTGGTCTCAGACTGTTTGGCCAAAATCAAAAACAATTGTAATTTATAAAACATAGTGAAATAGTAAAACTCAGGCAAAGTTCTCTCAGGTGTAAAGAAAATATATCTTTTAGATAATGCACATAATGCACATTTTGTTAAAGATCCCTCATCTTGTTCGTCATATTTTGTTTAACATTTCAATCTGCAATTTTGTAGAATCCTAAAGTTTACTTCGCAAAATCAAGATTGTAAATCTTTTCCTCCAGCGTAAAAACAAAGTAAACCCCTCAATATGTATTGGATATTATGTATGTATAATTTTTTTTCTTTTTTTACTTCAAAATTGTTAAATACATAAATATATAATATAGTACGATTTGACATAATGTTTAGAAGATGTTTAAAAACTATTCAACAATATGGAAACACATGTTGCTTTTTTCTTCCAGTATGGATGATGACTTCGCTTCAGGGGATGATCAGGAGAAAGAAGAAGGTACTGAACCAACAACCACACAAACTGCAATGATCAGTTTTCTTCTTCAATTTAGAATATTTAAGAAATTAAAAACTGAGAGATGTTATAGTTTATGCTTACAGATGATATAAAACTATCTTAAGTTTTACTAGTTTTCTTTAGTTTTGTTTTAAAGATTTCTTTTCTGGGAAATAAAATCAGCGCTTTTTTCCTGCGCTTGGCCTCATCGTTAATCTTTCAGGTTTTCTCTCCCATTTTACATCAGCAGAGGAACCAGTGAATTTCACAGCAGAACTGGTCAGGCCTTCAGCTGTGTGTCCAGTCATCATACATCCTGAAATTGATGTGGAGGTAAGGATAAAGTTAAGAGGGTAAGAACCAGGCTTCAGCTTTGCTAAAGTAGGAGTGCTTACTTTGAAGGAAATCATTTTGTGCTGCATGCAGTTGGACCCAAAGTGCTTTCTTCATTTATTCAAGTCATAGATCTAATAAAACATAACAGACATTTCCTGTTCAACTTTAAAAAGCTTACATCACTGGCTTGGTTCTTTGTATTGTTCACAGCTCATTGAAGCTTCAGCGACAACTTAGGTAATGTCTGACTTCTTCTCAGTGCTGTAGCACGTCCACTGTTTTATTTTTTCTACCCTTGTTTTTCTATTAGCATCTGCATCATGATGGTGCATGTTCTTTGGGGGGTTTGTTTTTGTCATATGTCTGTGTTTATTTTGAGGTTTATTCTCCACCGTTAAAAGAAAGAATAAGGTTATTTCTTAAAACACTAGAGAGCACAAATCTTCACATATGGATGGCAAAAGCAGCACTGCCCAACGCTTCATGTCTGTTCTGTCTTTATAGAGGAGCCGCCATAAAGGCAGCAGAAATGTTTAAAGCTGAGAAAATAAAGCATAAGAAAATCATATCAGTAATTAACAAAAAATAGCAGTCAAATAACATAATAATGTATGGAGCTAATTTTGATCTTGTTTATGTGTTCGCCGTCTCATCCTCGTGTTATTTTCATCTCATATTTCACATGCATGCTTTTGCACTAGGAGATTTGCAGCTGAAGTTGGCACAACCATATGTCTCTTTGTTATTCTTTTGCCAAAATGCCAATAATGTTGAATTTCATTTGCTGGCTCACTGGAGTTCCCTCAAAGGTGTATAGATGTTGATGAAATCCTCTGGATGGAATGAGGCTAGACCAGGGGTTCTTAACCCTGGGCCTCAGGGCCCACTGCCCTTCATGTTTTAGATGTCTCTACTATAGCATACATGATTCAAATGATTGCATCACCTCCTCTGCAGCCATTGAATGCTGCAAAAGCCTATTAATCACCTTTTCATTCAGGTCAGGTAAGTGGAGGCAAGGAAACCCCTAAAACATACAAAACAATGGGTGCTGATGATCAGGGTTAGGAAATCCTGGGCAAGACCATTTAAAACAGTGGCTGTGTCCGAATGTCTGCCCTAACCACAATATAGGGCACTCTATAGTGGTTATGCCATTTTAGATGAGTGTCCGAATGTCTAATGGGTGAAAAAGAAGTGGACTTGAAATTTCCCTCACTGCATCTTCAAAAGTATTGATCATCTATGGTCACTAGATGAGCAGATATTTCCACGATATCTTTGAGGTACCACTCGGGGAGGCGGAATTACTTGACCAACGGGTGGCAAAAAGTAGTGATCATCTGTCCGTATGGTCAGTTAACTGAGTTCACTATAAATTCCAGTATATAGTCCCCGCTCTATATAGAGATTAAGGGATTTAGGGGTTAGGGCGGACGTTCGGACACAGCCAATTGGTCAGCAGTAGAATTTTAGAATCAATGGGATGATAGTCAGGAGGCCATTGAAGATATCTTAAAACTGCATAGATCCTTCCCTGTATTGGTGAAAAGACAAGCTGCAGTCCTCCGAACTATCTGTTAACTTTGCTGGGATGATTGATTGAGTCAGACAGGTCAAGAGTTATAGTCCAGACAACATGTGATAAAAGCATGGGTAACCTTCTTGAGATCCCTAAAAGACAAGATAAGGATTCGCTTTCACAATGAGCCATTGTTACAAAAAAATGTTGACTTAACAACAGCTCGTATCTGTTTGTCTATCTAAGAGAACTGTCCTGGAAAAACAACAACATGCAAATGCCTTTCTTCCATTTAAATTTGCATATTTTAAAAACAAAAACAAGGCTTTGATGGCCTACTGTATGAAACCTCAAACTCAACGCTATTTTTGACATTTTGGATCGAAAAAGCTTATTGGATGGGAAGCGAAACGTCTCCAAATTTGGAAACAAAGTCCAGTGGATTGCTTTTAATTTACTTTTTTTTTGGGAAAACCCTGGCAGATTACATTACCCCCCACTGACCTGTGGGTTACCAGCGAAGGACCTCCCAAGGAGCAGTCAAGGACCCATCATGAAAACCGGGAAACCTTTAAACTGCTACTACTGTACCCTGTGAGAAGCTCCAGAAGACTCAGGCGGAGGCATCAGCAATTGCCTGGATCAAAGACTACCTGAACAGACCAGTTTGTTAGACTGAAGGGTCAGCTATCTAATCAAGTAGTCAGCAGGACAGGAGCACCACAGGGGACGGCACTCTCACCATTCCTTTTTAATCTGTACACCTCTGACTTCCAGTACCAGATCCGTCTTCTTCTATACAGTTTGATGGCAGACATACATTCCTATGATTCCACTTTAAACCTCTAACTAGGCCCACAACCTGCTAAAGTCTTCTTTCCAAAGACCTCGATCACATCAGGGTGTTTACTTTCACTTCAATCAAAAAATGTTTTTCTAAGGTTTAAACTTAAAATCTGTTTCTTGTTTGATTCCCCAGTATTTAATTGAGGTCTTTATAAATGGAATACATTTTGGTTTAATAGTTAACAGTTTATCAGTTTAACAGTTTCTGCTATTAAGGAATTGAAGTGTATTTATTTACCTGCATTTTTTACGTCTTGTCCTCACCGCCACAGTGTCAGCATGAGGTTAATTTAAGAGAAAAGTATTGGTGTGTTTTGAAATGCTTTTCTTGTGGTTTGATGTAATGAAGTGGAATTTGGATCTGTTATCTCCTGTGAGCTATCATTGTTTTCTTACATTTTACTCCAACAGAAAGCAGTTCACCAGTCTGGCTCCACTGGCGCACCTGAACCCGGGCCTCCTTCTGTTGGTGGTGCTCTGTCCACTCCCGCTGTATTCCCAGATGAACAATCACCTTCAACGTCTTCCAATGCTGACCTTCAAACGTATTCAGCCTATGTACTGCATGCTGGTGAATTAATCACTCCAGATAAGTCTTCGCCTTCACATTTTATCCACAGGGAATCTATGAACCGCATGTCAGAGCAGTCCGCGCACAGTAGTCCCACTGCAGCACAGTCTCTCTCCAATCCTCCATCTCAAGAATCCAAACAGAGATCAGACGAGTCTCTGGCTGAGAGAGTGGAAAGCCCCACTACAGAAGCTCCCCCTGTAGCAGAGATCAGTCTGCTGTTAACAGCAGGAGAATATTGGATGGCTGCTGAGAGTGTCTCTTGTCCCAGTGTGACCGAAGGCCCGGAGCGAGAAGCTGTCGTGGGACTGAGTGAACTTGAAGAAAGATTTTTTGAAATTTCCACAAAATCTACAGCCCATCATGCAGACGGAAGAGCTGAGACTCCTGTGAGAGCAGAGAATGAAGGTCAACTGTCACCTGAGCTTACTGAAAGCCCCTCAGTGAACATTACTGAGGTAAACCAAGATGTATCTTCTCAAACTCCCTCAGCCTGGAATGAGAAAGAAGAACCTGCTTACATTTCTCTGCACACATCATTAGCAGATCACCCTGAAGTCTTGTCAGATGTTTCTGAGATGATGTTTGAAGATGACTTCAGCAGTAATCTGATGCCATGCATCTTCTTTCTGACCGGAGTAGTTTCCCTCTCACTTGTGATGCAGACACCCAGTGCTCTCTTCTTTATTGGGCTGCTTCTGGTTTTGCACCTTTTCTAAAATTTCCTCAAAACTTCAGTCTGATTTCCTGTCAAATGAAGTGCCTTTTAGTGAGTCAAAAAAAAACAACGGGTTTAGCAATGAGCGTCTCCTTCAAATAATGTGCAAAATATAATTTACAAAGCTTTTTTTTTAAGTATATAGGGTAGTGGTGACAGTATTTTGCTTAGGAGATGCATATTCATTCAGCAGTGGCTAGAAGACTATTTTATTTTTAAGGGAAGATATAAGTGGCTAAATTGCTGGGTAAACATCAAATGGAGGCTGCAAGGATTTGAGTCTACACCAGAGGTTTACTTTCCAGTGGGATTAAAACCAAAAAACAGCTAGAAATAGAGAACATAGTTTAGGTTGAAGCATTACTATGGTGCAGGGGGTCCAGAGTCCACACTTTCTTCACTTAAATCCAATTTTGAACTTGTGGCAAGACTTAAAAGCTAATGTTCACAGCTGTTTTTCATCTAATCTGATTCTATTCAATTTTCCAGTTTTAAAACAACCCAGCATTTTTATTAAATTTATCCTCTTCTTAATAATAAACTACTTTGGGTTGATCAAATATATAGAATTAGAATGGAATACATTATAGTTCCAGGCTCTGATCTATCAAAATATGGAAAACCTTCAAGGGGAAATATATGTTTTTTAACAAAGTCCACGTAAAAATACTGCAGGTTAGGTTTTGACAATATGTAGAAGAATAACACGAAAGAGTATTTTCTACAATATTATGATCACTGAGGTCAAATTAATTCTTAAAGGACACCCCTCAAAATTAACTTTTTTAGCTCAACTATTGATGGATGTCTTATAAAGCTGTCTACATGTCCTGGGCATTACTTTGACAGTTCACTGCACATTGTTGCAATCCTGTTTTTATGTTGATATTATATATCCTGTCATCTAACACCAACTTGCCACTCAGTAGCTGTCCCCATTCTATGGTGGGATGCCTAGAGGCTTGGCTATAGGGATGGCCTTCCCAATCTATAGAGCCAGCGGCTCAAACCGGTGGGGCTCATTTTTCTGTATCCTGTCTCTGGTTAAGACAGTGGGGAGAAATCTTCTGCCTCATACGATCGCTCCATCACAACGCTATCATTGCTACACCTATGCATCCCCTCCTTAAGGCTATTTTTTGAATTATTATAAGTGGGTAAGTGAGGCTCTGGAACAGGGTTCAATTGTCATTTATGTGTAGATGATCTGTGAATTATATTTTTCTTGTGTGACGATAGAATATATGGTTTCTTTCAGTCAGTATTTCAATGCACTTTTAATTACAGCCATCAAATGTAGCAAAGGGTCTGATGTTACTATATAAAAGCCAGATGTAGTCGGTGTAGCTAGAAGTAATGCCAGTGAGAAAGTGCCTTAAAGACTAATACTACTGGTGATCACAGGCGTTTATCTTCTAAACATTTTCACCTTGTAGGCACCACTTACCCTTAAATATACATCTTCTAAAATGTTTCATTTGTTATGTCTTTTGCTACATGTAGTTTTCTTTAAAAATGTTTTAAAATGACCTTTTTTATTAAAATTTTAAACCATTCATTTTTGCTGATAGAAGTGTCACACATTTATTTTTGCTGTTAATTGGATAATTAACCAACTTTCAAGTTTATTAAGTGTCCTTATTGTTTTACAAAGTGTATATTTTCTTAATAAATTCCAGTTCTTAAGCTACCATTTGGCAGTTTAAAGGTGGATGTTGTTTTAAGTGGTCCACATAACTGAATTGCTAAAATCATATTCATAAAGAATTATGAATATGATCTTAATTTGCCTGCTCTGCAGATGAATTGTGGAATATTGTGGTTCCAAATAGAGTGCAATAGGTCAATATAAGAATTGGGAATAGCACTGCGAGTGTTTTCGTAAGCTGACAATTTCTTTTTCCTTGTATCTGACTTTTCCATTTGAACGTATAAATTACAATTTGGTAAATGAACTATAACATGCGCGGGGCTCAAGTCAAGTTCAGATTACAAATGTATTTCACCATCTTTTGTTTCCAACATTGTACTCTAAATCCAATATGGCTGCAATGCATTTGAAAACACTAATACTAACACTCAATTTATATATATATATTTTTTTTCTGAAAGGATTACCTCATTGAAAAAGTAAAACAACAAGACCTGCCATTTGCTGCAGAATTTAGAATCTAAAAAGCAAAGGGATGCTTCTTTTTGTCTTGAATTGCTAATAATATTTCCTTTGGTCATTGAGCACCGGCGACTAAGGAGATTAATCCTACAATTATGGAATGCCAACATGATTAATTTAGCTCTTTAATGTTTTTTGTGTGTGTTTTTAGTGAAATATGTATCTAGTTAGGATACATTAAGCCATTGTTTGCAAAAAGGTGTGACTTGGACGCACAGCTAATGTTAGTGCTACAGTTTTTTGCTTCTTGTGTTCATTTGTTTGTTTTAAACACAGGAGTTTGAATTTCCAAGTTTCAAATATAAGAATCAACTCCAACAATCCCTGTCTTTGAGAACCCAGCTGTGCAAAGTTAGACATCCCTTATCAACTATGGGTTAAGTATCCAATGTGACCTCCATGTGTAACAAAGCCTTTTAAGTGCTGTAGTATTAAGCTTTTATTTCATTTTCTGAGTTGGTATGTCTTATAATGGTATATTGTTGAACATGCTTCTCAATATGTCAGATGCACAAATTGCACAGAAATGGATTATTATTCTGTATAGTCATAAGCACTGATAGCTATACAGGATGCATTAGAGAATGCAGTTGGTGTTCAAACCCGCAACTTAAATGAGGTTAGGTTTGGTGTAATGTTGTTCTAAGTTCAAACCACTGACTTCCAGAGCACACTATAAATAAAACAAACTATGCATCACAGAAACCCAGTCTGTACTCTACCAAATCTAACTGTATGGAGAAAAAATACCTATTGCGAACAATGCCTTGCAGCTATGTGATGCTAGTTTGAATATTTAAACTGCATTTGACATTAAATAAAAGCTGCTAGCAGGACAGTTGGCAAAGTTTGGGTCAGTGTTAAGAGTTTGATTCTAGGTGATATATTTCTGTGAACAGAAATATTTTTACTGTCCAATTTCATGTGAACATTGTGCAGAGTTAACTTATACAGGCAGTGTTTAGACCAGCATTGGCAGTGATTCAAAGAGGGATGACACTCCTCCGTCTTTTCTAAATATGGTCTCTCATGCCTCCAGAATACCAAGATGGCAGCAACCAGCTGCCAAAATGTTAACTTTTAAAATGGATCACATATGCAAGGCTATTTTTATTTTTTGTCACTTTAAGTCAAACCAACTTATTGCGATACCAGCTTTAATTAGTTGTTATTTGTGTTGTGGTGTGTTTTATGTCTTCACTTTAGCATAACATTTTATGACTTTCTGTTCAAATGGAGTTTTATTTGTAAAATGCATAAGAAGTGTGTTTTTTTTTTTTTGTAGTAATTAGTGAACTCACGGTGGTTAAGCATAGAAGTTTGGGGAGAAGACAGATGTACAAATTAGAGTGATAAGTGATATGGATGATGTGAAAAAGCAAACCATCGAATTTCTTTCCATTGATGGGAAATCGTATAGAGTTAGGACATCAAACCGTTGTTGTTGTTGCTCTGCACCAAACTGTAATAAGCCTGTATCATGAACCTCACAGATGTAAGCACAAAATGAAATGTTTGAAGTGTTTTTGAATTTTACTGAAATTAAACAAGATCCCATCCTCTGTCGTTTGACCTTTTTTTCTCTGTTTCACAATAGAAGTAGATTTCCTCAAACTGTATTCACAGACATGACATTGAGCAGAAAAGACTGGAGTCACTCCCTGACTTTTAAAATTACATTAGCTCCTTTAGAGCCTGCATGACTGAAGAGTGCACAGTGTTTTCTGAAGTGGGAACACAAATTGTAATATGAGCTGCAGAAGAAAGCCAAAGGTCACACATTGCATTGAAGTCACAGTGTCCTGCAGTGCCCCCTGGCCATTGTAAACTGAGAGAGGGATATTAAGATTAAAAACACCAGAATGACTTGTCAAAGTTTTTTGTTTACAAAAATAATAGCTAATTCTAAATTTTATTGAGCTCTTGTTTAAGTACTCAACAGCGTTATGTCCAATAAACTAATGCTCAACCATTAATTGTTCTTTATGTTACATTTGAGTATATGGTTGGCCCTCATTTAAAATAATTTGAAAGGCAACATTCACTTTGTGCACATCTTCGCAGGTAAAACAGGAAGGGGCTACTATGTGGAACATACATTTTTAAAGGGATAGGATGGTGGAACTTTGTGACCAACACTGTATTTAAATAAGCACCTTAATGATGCACAATCTGAGCAGCGGATTTATGATTAAACGTTTTTTCATGCAAACATATTCTTTTTGCCTTGACTAAATCATTGTGAAATTAGTTCAACCTTCTTTCGAATTGTAGCATAACTGTTTTGTTTTAAGAAATGACTGTCAGCTTTATGAAAATTAGCACGCTATTATGACAAAATCTATGTTATTGAATAAAAAAATATATATATTTATATTGACCTTTATGAGGACTAAAATCCAGCTTGATATTTTGAAATCTGTTGAGGTTAATTCCTGCAGAAAATTGCATGATGCCTTAAAACAGAATTAGATTTTGAGATTTTAAAGGGATGTTTAAAGTAAAGCTTGTTTTCAGGTTAGCTAAAGGGCTAACCTGCAGAGAGCTCTCTATACCTTTAATCTTGGGAGGCTTAAACATATAGCCATATTCAGTAAATTAGAATATGTGTTCCAAAGAGCAGAGGCGTAGCCAGAACAATTCTATAAGGGTGGCCAGTGCTGGCTGTACACAGTGCTGTACACTGTGCGATTTTCCAGTCGTGCAAGAATCTTTCAATCGGGCCGACATGCAGCCTGATCGTGAGTCGTGTAGTGTACAGGGGGTTACGAGGGGTGATCAGCCTCTCACGACCACATCCCGATCAGGAATCGTGAGGTTGTGGGCAAATCACTCAGGCCGTATGTGCAAACAAGGATTCCTCTTTTTATTCTTCCTCTCAGGTGTAGACACAGCAGCATGGCAGGGATGCAATGAGTGAAATGCAGTTCTGTCTGTAAAATTGACAGACCGTAGCAGCCATGTTTGCTCAGCCTTGTCGTTTTTACAAATACGTCGCCGCCTTTTCTTTTTAGGGCTTTTAGCACAAAACTGCACAGATTGCTAAGGCAGCGTGTTTCACTATAGTGAGCTTCATATTCCTCTTCTATTTGTTTGGCATCCAGATAGACTAGTCTAAGCAGCTCCATCTCACTGCGGAGCTGAATCCGACATTGTTTTTAGTCGTACAGTGTGAGCAGTTAGATCGCATGAGAGCGTCGGGCTAAACATAAATCGTGAGCTCTGAGCTCACACTGTATGACGAAAGTTAGTCGTGCAGTGTGAGCAGCAGCTGCGTGCAACAACTGAAAAAAAATCATACAGTGTTCCCCTGACTTAAAGGGGGGCCATGGCCACCCCTGGCCCCCCATCTAGCTCCGCTCCTGTTACAGATATATGATTGTGGGCCTAATGTTATCCTCCGAATGTCTTTTTATGGCCTTGTCAGACTGTGCGTGTCCAGAGGTGTAGCCAGAACATCACAGTTTCTCATTCCGCAGGAACGGGTAATAAACCCAGAGCACAGTTTCTCAGTCCGCGGGCACGGATTAATAAACCAAGAGCACAGTTTTCTCTATCCGCGGCAGGGGCGCAGATAGGTTTTTGAAACTGTGGGGGACAGTTACTATTACTGGCTATTACTCAGCTATGACAACCCATCAATCTTAATTGCCCATCATTGCAAGAAAATAACACGTATTGGTACCAAGTACTCACCAAAAATGCCACATGACGTGTGGAAAAAAAAAGGTTTTATTTAAATATGGACTGACTTTAAGTGCAGGCTGTAAACACACAGAAACACGAGAGACAGCTTCTCAGCCATATCCACTGCTTCCTTAAAGACTGCCTCAAAGTGGGCTGGCTTTCTTTTGTCCCGTAATCTCTCTTGGACAACTGAGACTGCAGAGACCATGCCCTCCACCGTCTGGGTGCTTTTTGGAGCGATGTATTCAGCACTTCCAGTTCGCTCATTACATCTAAGGCCAGTGTGAGCCCCAGTAGCCCCAATTTCAGTAAAATCTCAGCTTTTAAATGTTGTAAAATCACCCATAAGTTTTAGGTGTTTTAGTCCTTAATAATTAAAGTTATACATTCAAAAAACATAAGGAAGTTATTACCAACATCTCACTCTGCTTTACAGCTTTGTATTAACATTGCTTTAATGTGTGTTATTGTGCACAGCTGGGGATGTTAAGGGCCACGTTAATTATAGATTAAATAATTTACTGTTCTGTAGTTTAAGCAATTGTCATATTTGTAACATCACTAGTCTTTCCTGTGACATGCACCTTTTATTTATTTATATATACACACACACACACATACATATATATATATATATATATATATATATATATATATATATATATATATATATATATATATATATATATGAATGAGAGAGAGAGATTCTTTCCTCCGAGTTACAGTGACATAGACAAACTTGAAGATACATGACATCCTCAAATTTCTATTCTATTAAAATTTCTGTATCTGTATAATGGGTCTGTTCTATATGTTGTCTTCTCAATTCAGAGGCCTCCCATGCCTGTCTTTGCCTAGGGCCCCAAATTTCCTAAATCCGCCCCTGTGTAGTGGAATTTGTCTAGCTTTGAAGTTTGTTTTTCTCATGATTCAACCTGTAACAACCTAAACCATTTGGCTTGGCATAAATACGGATTCAAGTAGCCTACTGTAGCCTACACATTTCCGAAAGACCCCCAACAACTCCAGAAAAAGTCGGAACAGTCGATTTAATTATAAATAAATAAATGCCAGTCGATTCCCCCTGCCTCCCGCCTTATGACATTGGCACCTCTCTTCACGCTATTCTCACTGACCGTCTCTACTCTTTTTTCCACGGCGACATCGAACAGACAACCAAAAAAAATGCAAGGTGATATGATACCGCAATGAACAGTTTACTTACAGTTGGTGCTTTTCGAAAAAAGGATGCAATTGTTTTCTGTTTTTTCGGTTTGGCTGGCCTCAGGGGTGTTGCTAGGCACAAAGCTTTACTGGGGCACTGGCCCCCTACCGCATGTGCCCCTCCTGCCATACACAAATACAGACAAGCACACTGCCCCACCCTGATACATTCCTACCAAAATTACCAGTTGAGATATTAATGAGTGTAAGAGCATATTTGTTTTAACAAACATGAACATTTTCAACATTGCAGCTATAAAAAATAAGACAGTACAAACTTAAAAAAAAAAAAAGTTTCCTTATACACATTCTGAAGTAATCATTAATTCATAGGTTTCAGAGTTTTAGTTCAGGGGAAAGTTTAACTAAACCTGAACTAAGTTTTTCTTCTATTTTTTGAGCATTAAAGTGTACCTCCTATTTTTCATTTTTGCAAAGTGGTCAATCACTTGTGACTCAGCTTAGAAAGTTCTTCCTTTTCAACTGATAAAATAGCAAGATGATGGAGCCTGTCTTGTCCCATTGTGCACCTCGGCCAAGTGTGGAGACTTCTCAACACACTGAATGACCTTTCACAACTCCAGCTGTTGACTGGGATGGTGAGGGAGATCTGGATGACCTGCGTTAGTGTGGGGAACATGGTGTTATCAAGCAAGTTGAAAACACACTGCATATCCTTGATGACAAGGCTTTCTTTTTCAACCATAAAAAGCTTTCAAACCATTTTGAATTAAATGAAAGTTTTTTTTTTCACTCCAAATTTGTCCTGGGGATAGTGGGACAACTTCACTTGTTTAGGACCATCATGCTTTCCCCCTAAGTCACTAATGTCCCCTTCTTGTTTGTGGACGCTGGTTGTTGCTTCCTCATCACCTTCATGGTCCTGTCTCTCCTGTCTCTCCTGTCTCTCACCTGTCTCTTGCCTGTCAGTCTCTCCTCCTCCTCCCTTTCCTACTCCAGCACCTTCATTCTCATTCTCTACAGCAAACATTAAAAAACGTTAATTTATAATTATGTAAATATCTATCATATGGCTAATAACGTCCCTAATGTAACTGCTTAGCTTAAATCAGTAATTCACCACGGGACCTTACCTCCCTCTCTCTCATCTTGTTTTACTGCTTCCCTGTCTCTGCTTCGTGTGAGGAATTTCCTGATATCCATCTACAAACCAATGCAGTCATTTTCAGTTAGTAGCCTATAAAGCATGTGGTTTCACTGGGAAAATAATAAAATTGACAGGTAAGAAACGTTATCAGAACGTTTCTTACCTGTCAATTAAAAAAAAAAATACGTTGCAGCCGCACAGTGTCCCATCCAACTCAGTTGAGAGCAGCGCGTTGATTTACTTGCAGTTCATGCAGTGACATGCGCTGACGTGGGGGCGCTAATACATCCTCAATTTGGAGTTAACAACACACTTGCTGCGCACTTGAGTAGAAATATACGTCTCCTCCCGTTGGAATTATCTAAATTGATGCATTAAAAAAAATTTATCACTGTTGCAAATATTTATTAGATTTATACTGGGGCACAGTTCATTTATACTGGGGCACGTGCCCCAGTAAATGGGGTCTGGCGACGCCGATGGCTGGCCTCATGTTGATGTCCGGACTCCGGAATTGGGAACTGTCCTGCCACTACTGTCTGTCTGAGTAACCATGGAAACCAGGCTCGAGAGGTAAATGCCAGAGACAGGATAACTTTTAGATTAGATACGACGCAGGCAGCCTGCAGTTAAACAAAACGATTGCCCGTCTATGATCTGACTGTTTTATGTTGTTGTTGCAAAGCAGTAAATTAGAAAAAGCTTTTTGATTTTCTGTGAGTTTCGCCGTATGTTTTTTTTTTTTTAAATAAAAGTGGGTGGGGCGGATTGAGGGTCATTCGAACCTGTGTACGTCAGAACACCCCTGACGTACACGCTATCTGCGCCCTTGATCCGCGGGCACGGGTTAATAAACCGAGAGCACAGTTTCTCAATCTGCTGGCCCGGATTAATAAACCGAGAGCACAGTTTCTCAATCTGCGGGCCCGGATTAATAAACCGAGAGCACAGTTTCTCAATCTGCGGGCCCGGATTAATAAACCGAGAGCACAGTTTCTCAATCTGCGGGCCCGGATTAATAAACCGAGAGCACAGTTTCTCAATCTGCGGGCCCGAATTAATAAACCGAGAGCACAGTTTCTCAATCTGCGGGCCCGGATTAATAAACCGAGAGCACAGTTTCTCAATCTGCGGGCCCGGATTAATAAACCGAGAGCACAGTTTCTCAATCTGTGGGCCTGGATTAATAAACCGAGAGCACAATTTCTTAATTTAGTTTATCAATCCGTGCCCACGGATTTCCACCGGCTTTTTACCCTGACACCCAGGGGGCTCCGTACAATTGAGAGTATTACTGCTGCCACCATCTGTATTAGGGGGGAAAAATGGTAGGGGTGACCACAGGGGTGGCCCTGGCCCCCCATCTAGTTCCGCCCTTGTGCGTGTCATCTCAGGTCCATCCAGCCTGCTTTGTGTCAGAGGACAGGAGACCAATGAGAAATGGTTTGTTGACAGCTGGAGCTTCTCAGTGTCCATGCAGTAAAAACAAAACAGGAAAAAAAACGGTTACAGGACGGCTTTTTAAGTCATGCCCCATATCAGCAGGTCTGCCTCCTCCTCCCTGCCTCCCTCTCTCCCCCTCCCCTCCTCCCTGCTGCCACCCCCCCTCCTCCTCCTTCTCCCTCCCTCCGAATAAAACCGACGCTTTCCGCGAATGTGCGAGCTGCCTCCTCTCCAGCAGCCATAATTGGGATTATTCAGGAATAATTCGCCCGATCCTGGCCGCGCCGTTTTTCTCCCCCCCCCCCTTTTTTTTTAAGGGTTATATATTGATGTCCTAGAGCGGATGTCGAAAGCAGCATCTTCGAGGTAGAAAATAATTTTCGTTTTACCTCTGCTGGATTTTTTTTTTTTTGGCTTCGGCTTTCCTCATATATTCCATCTGTCATGGAGGCTTTTATTATGGAGCATTAGGATGTAGCCCACCAGCCAAACAAAGACTGCATACTGACAGTTGAGGGGCAGCTGCATCGCCTTTTATTTCTGGGTTTTTCATCCTTATATTTTTGACTAGAAGATGGGAAACAGAGGCGCATCGAGGCTGTTGTCTGGGTGGACTAATTGTCCTGGTGCCACTGGCCGCTGCGCACGCCAAGACCTTTTATTATTTTATTCCTCCTTAACTGTGGCGGGTGGCTTATTCTAAACATTTGGGATTCCTGACATCAATTGGACATATATGATCAGAGAAAAACAGATGCCTTCCCATCGATGTGATGCAACATAAAATCTGTTTTCTCGGATGATATTCAAATGAACACATCCCTCCCTCTCCCTGTAAAAAAGGGTGGTGGATTTTTTTTTCTTCTTCTTTTTATTATCATTCTTATATTTTTTAACACATCTCTCTCTCTCATGCTGGATTATTTGATCAGCTGTTGATGATCAATGCTATTTGACAGCATCTCCTGTTTCATGTTTATTCCATGTTTTTTTTGGATGGATTTATGCATAACAGGTGTTGTTTGAGGCTGAGAGCGCATCAAGAGCATGAAGCTTTATTATGTGTCTTTCTCTCGATTTAACGAGCAGTGAAACAAAGCGACCGGGATCCTTTTTTCTTTTGCCGTGAAATAAGAGAAGACTAAAAAATAGGAGGAAAAGAATGAGGGGAATGAAAGGTAGGTTATCATCTTTATCTGTTCTTCTCCACCTCTCTCTGTCTTTATCTGTCAAACACACACAAAACAGGTGATTTTGACACCTGTTCATCTGTTATTTACTCCACCCTGGGTTTTAGGCCTTGCTGGCTTGGCAGCCATTTAATCAGGTGAAATCATATTGTTAAAAAAAAAAACACACAGGGAAAAGAAATTCATGTTCTTGGCCTACAGTGACAGGGCCAACACGAACTAGGCATTATAGCCATTATACATCCCATTTATATATATATATATATATATATATATATATATATATATATATATATATATATATATATATATATATATATATATATATATATATATATATATATATATATATATATATATATATAAATATATACACACAATGGAAAAAAATCAAAATCTAGATAAGTCATTTTTTTCTTAAAATAAGTCCATTTGTTCTTGGATTGGAGAGGTAAAAGAGACACTTTGCTAATGGAACAAAACTATTTAGATTTAAAATAAGAAAACACAATTGCATTGCCTTATTTCAGATGCACATTATCTAATTATCTTATTTTAAGAGTAAAAATACACATTCCATTGGCAAACTATCTCATTTACCTACTCAAATTAAGGGTAAATACACTTAATTTAAGAAATGGTTCCTTATTTCTAGATGGTTTTTCCAGTGAAGATTTAGATTTTTCCAGGGTGTATTTCTGTCTATATATATAGATATATCTATATATATAGATATATATATCAGTACTAGTTCCTGCTTGCATTCTGATTTTGGTTGTGTAATTATCTTTGCTTTATCCTATCACTTTATCGCCTCCTGTTGAGTGAGGTAGCACACTTCACACAGACGCAGAGTCAAAGGAAAAAAAACAAAAAAAAAAAAACAAATGGCTGCCCCTGCTCTGCTGCTATGTTCCCATATTTGCTCTCTGATATGAATGCTATAGACTGCACCCTCTGCTCTACACACATACAGAGGAGCGCAGGGAAAGCTTAAAATGTCCTTTGCTCATTTACAACATCTCTGTTTGTTGGACATGCTCAGGGTTGGTTATGCTGTGTCTGCCCCCCTCCCCTCCATCCGCCCTTCATCCCTGTACACCCCCATGCATTCACTCAAACACCCACACTTGCACAAAGTATGTGAGCTGTAGTATCTTAGCAACGGGCTAGGTAATTACTGAGTGAGCCAAGGAGCTGGCATGCTGTAGAGCTGCTGATCTGATCCCAACGTTAGGGAAACAGGAAGGTAGAAATTTTTGAGCTGTGTCGTCCAACACGACACTCGTGTTTTTTGTATCCATTTAGACTTCACTCACATGCAGGTCAGACATCTTGTTTCCTGTTTTTTTTTTTTTATCTCAAACATGTGTGTCTCTGTTCCCAGGCGGTGAGGCCGTGGACAAAGAAGAGAAATGATTCTGTCGAGTAGAAAAGATCCGCTCGGCCTCTCCTTGTAGAGATCAGCGGAGACGACGACGGAGGCGGCAGGAGGAAAATAGCTGTTCTTTTAAGGGCCCAGATCAGGCAGGCTCTCTTGGAGGGCGATAGAATGGCTAACCAGAGCTTTGCCATTGATGGCCCTGGCAGTTTACTGGCTGTGCTAGCTTCCCAGAGTGGACTGGCGAAGGGAGGCAGCAGTAGCAGCAGCAATGATGGCAGCAGCAACAGCGGGGGAATCACTGCCACAGATGTGTCTGCCTACTTTAAGCTGGTCTTCTTGGGGTTGATCATCTGTGTCAGCCTCGTAGGCAACCTCTTGGTTTCTATGCTGGTGCTGCGGGATAGGACACTCCACAAGGCCCCTTACTTCTTTCTCCTGGACCTGTGCCTGGCTGATGCAGTCCGCTCCGCTGCTTGCTTCCCCTTTGTGCTGGTGTCTGTCCACAACAGCTCGGCCTGGACTTACAGCGCCTTGAGTTGTAAAGTCGTTGCTTTTATGGCTGTTCTGTTTTGTTTTCACGCTGCCTTCATGCTGTTTTGTGTGGCCGTCACCCGGTACCTTGCCATCGCCCACCACCGCTTCTATGCCAAACGCATGACCATCTGGACCTGTGCCGCCATCATTTGCATGGTGTGGACCCTGGCCGTCGCTATGGCATTTCCTCCTGTCTTTGATGTGGGAACTTACAAGTTCATCCGTGATGAAGATCAGTGCATTTTTGAACACCGCTACTTGAAGACCAACGACACCCTGGGTTTCATGTTGATGCTGGCCGTTGTGGTCTTGGCCACTCATGGCTTCTATGCCAAACTCCTGCTGTTTGAATACAGACACCGCAAGATGAAACCAGTCCAACTGGTACCAGCAATCAGCCAGAACTGGACCTTTCATGGTCCTGGGGCAACAGGCCAAGCAGCAGCCAACTGGATTGCAGGTTTTGGTCGGGGTCCAATGCCACCGACTCTGTTGGGCATCAGGCAGAATTTACACAATCAGCACCGGCGACTGCTCGGAATGGAGGAGGTGCGTTCTGAGAGGAGGCTCGGCAGGATGTTCTACACCATCACCCTGCTTTTCTTAGTCCTCTGGGCACCCTACATTGTGGCCTGCTTCTGGAGAGTGTTTGTCAAGTCTTGCGCCATCCCTCACAGGTACCTTTCGATCACAGTGTGGATGAGCTTCGCCCAGGCTGGCGTCAACCCCATCTTCTGTCTCCTGCTCAACGAGGATCTAAGAAAAGTGCTGCGAGCCCATCTGCCCACTTACTGGAGGACTAAACAACACCTGCCCCAGGATGAGGCCTACTGCATCATGTGAGACCAAATTAGGGTTCATTCAAGGAATGTTTCAGGTTTCAAAGCAAATTTTAGAGAGCAGTAGGGTTTTAGTCCACTTGCTCTAAATGTGGGTGTCCGATTTGTTGTTTTGCACAACAAAATCCAAATGTTGCTACCAAATTCAGGCAGGATGCCAATGTTTGAAGAATGTATATGTTTGAATAAGCCAGTGAGGTGAAAAAAGTCTGGACAGGTGGCACAGAAAAACCCCTGGTAACACTTTGGCGATGGGTACCTCTGATGTACTGTATCAAATGATAGATTGGAAAGATCCCAACAATCACTACTCCAATTAGGTGTGACAGATGCCATTTTCAAAATAATGTTGCCTTATTTCAGACGGACACAGCCCAGAGCTTTCTACTGAGAACTAGTTTGTGTCACATTAGACCCTTAATTGATAAAAAAAAAATCAAAACCTTGAAGAAATGTGCCGTGGACTGTGAACAGAAAGTGTTGATCAGAGAATTGCAAAACTCTGAAACACATCAAAGAACTCAAAGGGGTCTGAATGGAGCGATAGACCCCTCTGGACGCCTTTTCAAGTTATTCAAAGGAGACACCCGAATATTAAGCAGAGCCAATACCTTTGGACACATTTAAATAGCTGTTGTGAACGCAGAAGCCCCCCAAACATGCTTGATTTTTTTGGACTTAGGGCGTGTCAGGTTTCTTTGTATCATACAATGAAGAAAAAAAATTGCCTGTTTTGCTTTATTTGTAAACAATACATGTTGAAGCAGATGACACTATTTTGAAATATGACTTGATTTCTTATTGTATAGACTGTACAGGAATGTAGATTCCTGCTTGCGTGTTTTTCTATAGCATTTGTGTGTGGGTGGGTGTATGTGTATGTGTGCGTGTGAGAGCAAAAAAGGTAGAGAGGCTGGAAGGGAGAGAGAGAGGCAGAATGAGACTGACAGGAGTAATGATGATAGAATAGGTTTCAGTAATACTGAGTCAAAATGAAAGCAGCCACACTCAAAATCCTGCAAAAATTCAGCCGCCATCATATGGAAATTTATCCTTTAAATGGATTTCTGCAACTGAAAATGTGGTATGATTTTTTTATTTAAAGCTAATGTGCAAAAAAAAGTGACATACTGGGGGTTAAGATTTAAAAAAGGGGGGAGGGGCAGATTTTCATTTTGAACACTTGTATATTACAAACAGGGCGTAAGATTTAATGGCGACTTCAGTGATGTATTTATATTACATCTGTTTAAAAAATAATAGAAGATGTATATTTATTTGCAAACGATGGTCTTGGGAATGTTTTAAAGTACTGTACTGTTACTGTATGCTTTCACCAGAATACAACACAAAAGAAGACACGTCATGAAGGAAGCTGAATGTTACCCGGCCCTCTTATATTTCCACTCGATTCAAATGTCACCATTTGAGTGTCTTGTTTGAGAAATCAAAGCGAAATCAGGCTGGTGCGGGGATCTGCACTGAATTGTTTCTCCAAATTAAGATTCATGTAATGCAAAATGTCTGACCTTCAGTGCGTTAGGCATAGAGATATCAACATGCAGTCAATCTTTTAAATGTGGACACTTGCACAGCCTACTGTTCTAGCATGCATTCCACTGCATTTCATAGATTCCAAACCTGGTATTACAACTTGTACAGATGTTGATATGAAAAAGGAAAAGTGAGGTCCATAATTTTTACGTCTGGCACTCTTTTTGCGAGATGATATCCTGTATCTGTAAAGTTTAACTGAGGTGGTTCTTTGGCCCACTCATCAATAAAGACTCTACTTTTGATGCATTCTGAGTCATGACCTGCCTGGACTGAGACATGAATGGGGATTTTTTTTAGTGGGAGCAGAACATCTGGTACAAATTACATCCTGTGAGCTTTGTAGAAATGTTTTGACACTGAGGTCTAACCAACGCCTACTGTTTAACTTGTGATTGGATTTCAACTTTTTCACAACTGGTCATGTTACAACTACCAACTAACGTAGAGTCTTTGGGTTTTAAATCATAGTACACATAGTAGTGCAGGGCCTTAAGATAAGGGGGAAACTTTTCATGGTTTTAGGTTCTTTAATCTTTAATCAAACAAAACTATTTATTATGTGTTACTATAGAGTCAATAGAATTCCCAATTGCTGCATCATCAGAAGTTATTTGTTTCCAACCTATTTGCAGAATAGCAACACGTGTCCAAAGTTGGTTTGTATAACTTGTGTCTCTGAAGATTATTTGTAATACATGGACAGACAGGTATGATTTCAATCTAACAAATGAATATTCCTTAATCCATAATTCCATGTAGCTCTGCCTGTATGCAAAAGGTAAACCTACACACTAGTCTCATATCTTCTGGAGCTTCTATCAGGCCTTTTCAGGTTCAACCTGTATTTTGCTCCATCCATGCAGCTTTATTTTCCCTGCTGAAGAGCATTACCCCCATAGAACGACTCTGCCACTGCCGTGTTTAGAATGATGTGCAGTCTTAGTTTCCCCGACTCAGAATTTTCCAGGTTGACCAAAAATAATCAGTTTTGCTCTCATCCAACCAGAACACTTTGCTCCACATGTTTCCATTTCTGCAAAAAACTGGAGATGAATTTTTCTATTATGGTGTTTCTCCATAGTGAGAACATGTGGATATCTATTGCCCCACCATTGCTCCCATCGGCCTCTTGTCTGCTTTTCTAACAGAGATGTTTAAATCTTTGAATATTGTTATATAACATAAGTCTACATCTACTGAACTCTACCCCTAAGCTGTTTGCTGAATTCATTGATTTCCACAAAGTTATTTGTTTTGTTCTCAATCAAAGCTCAGAGACCCTTACAGAGCAGCTGGATTCATATTGAGAATGGATTACAAGTTTCTTTTACTCTTAAGGTGTCTTCTGAAACATATGGTTCCACCAGACTAATGAAATGCATGTCACCAATTTCAGATTTGTATTTGTAAAAAAAAAAAAAAACATTATTTCCCTTCCCTTTCAAATTGACGATTTTCTTTGGGTTAATCTAACATATAATCTGAATAAAGCACACTAAAGGTTGTAGTTGTAACATAAAAAGCGGTAAATACTTCTAAAAGACACAGTTGGTTTCAAACCTGTGAAGGGAGATTTACAAATATGCAAATGCCATTACCCATAGTGCTTCCTTTGAATTGTATTTTATATAAAAAATGTGAGCAAACCGTCTTCTTTAGGCATTGATCTGTTTAAAGTAAGCGTTCAGGCTGTTCAAAAAGTGTCAGATTATGATGTTTTTGCTGGATTACAGGAGGATAAGACAATTAGAAAAGTTCATTAAGTGTTTAGGCATGCTTGTCATCTAATGTGGGTAAAAAAAATCCACATGGGACAGGAAAATGGATTACGGAAACTAAAATCAACAAGATAAACTCAATACCATGAAAACTGTGCATGAAAGGATAGAAGAGGAGGTGTTAAGTTTTTAAATATTTTTATTTTAACACTTTATTTTGATATTCATGCCTAAAAGCTGAAATCTGATACGTCATTGCATGACTCAGCTTACCACGAGGAGATAGAAGTATGATGTGAGGTATCAGTTGATGCTCTGGGTTTTTATTGAGACAGAGGTTAGTCTATCAATGCAGACTAAAATCTGGTTCTTTGCTTCTGCAACGGCTCAAATGGAAACAAAATGGTCAAAAACCCCATTGTATCTGCTCTGAAGACATATTACACAAAAATTGTGCAGATCTAAACCCCTGTCCTTAATTAGATGTGCATCTGAAAGCAGTTTTCCTTTTAGTACCTCTTAAATGTTTTGTTTGATTAAAAGCAGCCTTTCAGGTTTATTACCGCTGCTGATAAAAGGGTGCATTATTGTGTGCAACAAAAAAAAAAAATCTACATGACACTAAATATTCTGAATGTCGCTTTCACACCAGATAAAAGCATTTATAAAACAATTCAGTGAATTTCAGATATCTTAGGTAAAAAGCTTTGCTGAGTAATTGTTCTATGTTAAGTTGAAATGGATATGATGGAAGACTATTATATGTTTTTGTCTTAATTAAGGCCTGTTTCAAACCCAGACACTGGATGGCTGTGTAATTACACCACAGAACGATAATCTTATATTTCAAATATGAATGCGAGCTAATTTCCCATTGTCTGCTTTGGAGCTGTTGGTCTGTGTATGTCAGAGATGTTTCCATTGGGAGGGGGATTAGTTTGACAGGTTGCATAGCCTCTGTTTCCTCAGAATTGATGTAAAAGCCTCATCTCCGAGGCTTATTTTTAGTTTACTTCCCCTTGGATGTTCATCACAATCAGAGGTTATCCTACACAGTAGGAGTGAGTGCATTAGGGGTAAACCTATATGACTTTCCTGTCTTCATCCCTGCCTTTTTGAAAACAGATCTTCCCAGGAAGCGGTCATTCACCCTGCTTTTCCTTTCCACAGACCTGCATGTCAAAAAACTCTCATTCAGGTTTTTGGAGATGGCTAAAAACTCTTCAGTGTTGAATCTTAAACATAAACCTTTTGGGTGACTTGAATATGGTGTTTTGCTTGTATTGTGCTGGTAGCTATTTCTTCTTTTTTTTTTTTTAAGAAAGTAATGTCTGTTCCTTCATAAGATAAAAAAATTTAATTGGCCTTGACAGCTTGTAGCAAGGACTCAGAAACACTAACATATAGAATATTAAATAGTAATGAACTTTTTTGTTAGGCTGTAATAATAAATCATTAAAGGTTACAGTTTTTCAGCATTAATAGATATAAAGTATTCAAAGAGCTATTTATAAAATAAGTTTTTTCAAATGTTATTAGTGTACTTCCCGCTTTTTTTTTTTTTGTCGTTAAAACAGTAAGGAAACTAAAATGCAAGCATATTCTCTGGAATGTCACTAACACGTTATTCTGGAGAGCAACATCATTCTCTCCCCAAATTAGACCACAGACACAAAATTAGCCCCATCTCTAGTATTTCCGACTGTCAAACCGCCTTCAGAAAATATTGCATTGTTTGCATATTCCTTATTTCTGCAAAATTATGTTTTTTAATCCATCTTGATGCACAGCTAATTATGCACACATTCCCTTAATTTAGAGGCTACCTACCCTGAAATTTGCTAGAACCTACATGATATTTTCATGAAATATTTACAGGTTACTTTCCTTGCACATATAACAGGCTGTATTATTAGTTGAATCTTTGACATGTTACTGTTTTTTAAATTACATGGCACTTTTAGGGAGCTTACAATCAACTTTCCAGAACCTGTCTGTACTATGAGAGGGATTATAAATAGGTTACAAGCACAGCATTTTTCAGAAAATCCCAATATGCTTCAAAGACACAGACCCTAAAATCTAAAATGTGATTATTAGATGGTTCCTTTTAGGAACTCAGCAGGTATTGTCAATGGTATTTTGCTGAGGTACTTTTCTGAACATTAGTTACTTTACCATAATGTACTTGTTACCTGAGTGAACACAATTTTAAACACTTATACCTATTACGCAACTACCTGTACCTAAGACGCATCTCATTTTGGCACAATTCATCAAAGCACAATGTGTAGGTTTTCAGTAGGATCCATTAAGTTCTAGGAAAGTTGAAGAAGTGATTTCTGTAAGTTCTGGGAAGGTTGAGAGCTCCATCATTAGTGGGACGTATATGTGATTTGTAATAACAAATGTAAATGTTTTTAGAGAATTAGGAAGAAGGAAAAAAAAAACATACTCAATAACATTGTTATTGTTTGTCAGAAGAAGACACTGATTGTTAATGGTAAAGTAACTGGCAAACTTTCAGATCCATTTTCTTAGGAAACGGACAAAAATGCCTGCAAACTTTTTTTTCCTTTATCTATGGTTGAATGCCTCTCCAAGTCTATTTTCTCCTTTCTCTACAGAGGCTTTGAGTTTTGCCAGGCCGTGGTTGTAAACATATCCTGCCTGGTTGAATAGAATATAATATACGATACAATTTTAAGAGCCAAAATAGAGACAAATAGAAAATCTTTTCTGATGTGTGTTTGGAAGCAATTTTCTGTTGGAATGTCAGAAACATGTAAAAATGTCTGCTATTTACTCAAACCATTACCCTCAGAAGAAAAAAAAAATAGTAAGAATATTCAGAAGTAATCCAGGAACCACTAAGGCCCAAGCCTGTTATTAACTGGAGGATGTTTAAGTTTAAAACATCCTCATCCCTCACTGAAATAAATTTAATATAAACAGACTGATCACATGAATGCACAGCAGGAAAGATATATTTACAGCTGCTACATTATCCAAATAACTTCTGGGGTTATATTGTAGACAGAGAGAGAGAAAACAATGAATAATTTCATAACAATGACAAGAAAATGACCAAAAGGTCAAGGCAAGTGTGGAAACTGTTAAATATGATGGTGGCAGCATCATGCTGGGGTTTCACTGATACATACCTTATCACTACTCTGTAACAAAGACAGGGAGGGAATAATTATATCAACAAGATAATAAAAACAAACATTAAATAAAAAAGACCTAAAGCATTGTAAGGTATTTATATATATATATATATATATATATATATATATATATATATATATATATATATATATATATATATATATATATATATATAAATATATATATGTGAACAGCACATGGGATATGATTTTTTTGTGTAGTAATTGCTTGTTGCTATCCCATTATTGGACAAAGTTATCAAAAGTAAATTGTGTGAAACATAAAGCTGCAGTTTGCTGACACCTGTGCTCAGTACAGTAAGATTGTTATTCACGCTAGTGGTAATGACTCCCGGTT